TGATAGCAACTAACTTGTGATGCACATTTCAATCTTAGAGGCCTATGGAGCAGTACTTCTCATATGATGAAAGAAACGGACGAAGAGGAAAAGCAAATAAAGGCATTACTGCTGCTGGGGCGGTTCGGCCAGAGAATCTGTCCGAACCGCCAAGTGAGTGTACAGGCTTGGTTAGCTAGAGAAAAAGTGATATTCAGATATAATAGGTTACCAACGAGAATTACTCATTATATTGTGTTACATACTTATATCTAAAGGAAATATTAGAAACGTTCCTGATACATACGACAAGTGAGTAATCGTGGAGACGGATACTTCTACAACATCGCACAATCATCTGACTCAACATCTTCTTTCTCGAAAAGATATCGAGCTAATATTGTCCAACACAAATATACATCACCCGACGTTGTTATTCGTTGTATACAGATAATAAGGGATAAAATCACACTGAAGTTAGCAATCCAACATTACGTACACGTTTTACGAAGATATATGAAAAACGCCAACCGTGGGAATCGAACCTGCGTAGTCTCGCATAATGGGCGGGCGCTCTACCAACTGAGCTGCACGGATCGGGCGGAGACGACTTTCAGAGACAGCACAACTGCGTGAATCTTGCTGGACTGCATCGCTCCGCTAGGTTTTTGTGACATGTATAAAAGATTTAAAACTGTCAGGCCTGGGATTCGAACTTGCGGTCATTTTAAATCGGCTCCTTGTCGAAACTGTTGTGTTACATTTGTGCAGACTAGTGCGTGCTCAACCTGAGTCGGGCTGCTACGTATGCTATTTAAACCTCAACGCAATTGAACGGCTAGGTCGCGAGAAGACGGCTTCATTTTGCCTATATACTCTAGCCGCAGGTAAAGCCGGTTTGATTTTAGCGCGCGCCCGGGGCCCCCACCCCAGCGCGCGCAATTTTTGTTGAGGCGATAGGTTGGGTTTCTTGGCGAAACCGGCGCGGGATCCACCAAGCGTGCTTCTTCGAAGCCAAAACGGCACTGCCGTGATAGCAATTAACTTGTGATGCACATTTCAATCTTAGAGGCCTATGGAGCAGTACTTCTCATATGATGAAAGAAACGGACGAAGAGAAAAAGCAAATAAAGGCATTACTGCTGCTGGGGCGGCCAGAAAATCCGTCCGCACCGCCAAGTAAGTGTACAGGCGTGGTGAGCTAGAGAAAAAGTGATATCAGGTATAATAGGTTACCAACGAGACTTACTAAATATATTTTGTTACATACTTATCTCAAGAAAATGTTCGACACGTTTTGGATACACACGAGAAATTAGCAATCGTGGAAATGGATGCCTCTCAAAACATCGCACGGTGTTCTGACGCAACGTTTTTCTTGACAAAACATCGAGCTAATATTTTGCAACACAAATATACATCATCCGACGTTGTTATTCGTTGTTTACAGATAATAGGAGATAAAATCACACTGAAGTTAGCAATCCAACATTACACACACGTTTTACGAAGATATATGAAAAACGCCAACCGTGGGAATCGAACCTGCGCACTCTCGCATGATGGGCGGGCGCTCTACCAACTGAGCTGCACGAATCGGGCGAAGACGACTTTCAGAGACAGCACAATTGCGTGAATCTTGCCGGACTGCATCGCTCCGCTAGGTTTTTGTGACATGAATAAAAGATTTAAAATTGTCAGGCCTGGGATTCGAACTTGCGGTCATTTTAAATCGGCTCCTTGTCGAAACTGTTGTGTTACATTCTCGCAGACTAGTGCGTGCTCAACCTGTGTCGGGCTGCTACGTATGCTATTTAAAACTCAACGCAATTGAACGGCTAGGTCGCGAGAAGACGGCTTCATTTTGCCTATATACTCTAGCCGCAGGTAAAGCCGGTTTGATTTTAGCGCGCGCCCGGGGCCCCCACCCCAGCGCGCGCAATTTTTGTTGAGGCGATGGGTTGGGTTTCTTGGCGAAACCGGCGCGGGATCCACCTAGCGGTGTGCTGGTTGATCCTGTCACCTGCGGTGCCAGTTGCTAGTCTACCTGCCACGCTGTGGCAGACTTAGCGTTGTCGTCCGGCATCATCCTGCCTGACACACTCGTGATGGTGGCTTACCACTATTACTAGATTGGTGTTGAGCCAGTACCACTGGCTTGAGTGCGCACTGTTAGCCGTGCGCACTGCTCTGAGTTTTCCGATGTAGATTAGAGTGCTACTCCACTCTCTGATGCGCTCTCGCGCGCTACTTTACATTGCTTCGAGGGGGTTCGATTCTGCAGGGTTGATTGGTCCGTGCACCCCACTGAAGTGGGGACCCCGCACGGACCCGTCGTAGTTCGAACCTGCGACCTTTAGGATGAGAGTCGGACAGAATAACCACTAAAGTAATACCTCGTTCAAATAAATGTGTTTCGTCTTGGGTCGCCAGTCTCTAGTACCGTACACCGTGGTGGTTAGTTAAATCACAGTCGAAGACCTTGTGCTGCACGTTATCACCAGTACTTAGTACGAGTATTAACTGTCAGAGGTCGGATATAGGTCAACCGCATGGCAGAGCATGACACTTTCCATGAGACTGAACCAAATTTATACGGTCTATCCCTACTGCGATGATATACAAAATTGTGATTACTCAGATCCGAACCTGGATCACTCGAGTGACAATCCGTCACACTAACCACTATACCAAACTCGCTATATATACTAAAAGTGTACGAGTCGCCAGCCGAAAGTTGAGTATTGCTTGGTAGCACTGAGCATGGACTTACAGCCTACCCAGAGCCCAGAGGGCATTGTCCTTCTCACTGGTACACTGCTGACCGCTGTGCCACCCAAGTTGCTGACCTACTCCGAGTGCTGAACCTTATTCCGCAATATAATCTCACCGAGATTCGAACCTGGGTGTCTCGAGTGATGGCGCACGCCCTTAACCTGCCAGACTAGAAGGACTGTTGAAGAAGAAGTTGCTTATGCAACATGGTTCACATAGAATTGATGAAAACTAAAACGTTAATAACTTTTTATTGAGCCTATAAATCGAAAATCCGGCTTCACAGCGATGTCCAGCAGATCGAGATCTGTCGATTGGTGAAGGAATTTGTGGGATTTATAGGCTAGATCGCGAAATCGGCTCCGCAGTTACACATTTTTGATGGGAGCTCCTAAAGGTAAAAAATAAACGCGCATATGGGGACCCCTCCCCCATGCGCGGCGGTCGATAAGGGCGGAGAGGCGCCATCCACCAAGGGTCCGGTGCGAGAAGGTATGAGGACGCTAGGTGAAAAATGAGAGCCACAAGCGTGCTTCTTCGAAGCCAAAACGGCACTGCCGTGATAGCAATTAACTTGTGATGCACATTTCAATCTTAGAGGCCTATGGAGCAGTACTTCTCATATGATGAAAGAAACGGACGAAGAGAAAAAGCAAATAAAGGCATTACTGCTGCTGGGGCGGTTCGGCCAGAAAATCTGTCCGAACCGCCAAGTAATGTACAGGCGTGGTGAGCTAGAGAAAAAGTGATATCAGGTATAATAGGTTACCAACGAGACTTACTAAATATATTTTGTTACATACTTATCTCAAGAAAATGTTCGACACGTTTTGGATACACACGAGAAATTAGCAATCGTGGAAATGGATGCCTCTCAAAACATCGCACGGTGTTCTGACGCAACGTTTTTCTTGACAAAACATCGAGCTAATATTTTGCAACACAAATATACATCATCCGACGTTGTTATTCGTTTTTTACAGATAATAGGAGATAAAATCACACTGAAGTTAGCAATCCAACATTACACACACGTTTTACGAAGATATATGAAAAACGCCAACCGTGGGAATCGAACCTGCGTAAACTCGCATAATGGGCGGGCGCTCTACCAACTGAGCTGCACGGATCGGGCGGAGACGACTTTCAGAGACAGCACAATTGCGTGAATCTTGCTGGACTGCATCGCTCCGCTAGGTTTCTGTGACATGAATAAAAGATTTAAAATTGTCAGGCCTGGGATTCGAACTTGCGGTCATTTTAAATCGGCTCCTTGTCGAAACTGTTGTGTTACATTTGTGCAGACTAGTGCGTGCTCAACCTGTGTCGGGCTGCTACGTATGCTATTTAAACCTCAACGCAATTGAATGGCTAGGTCGCGAAAAGACGCTTTCAAATTGCCTATATACTCTAGCCGCAGGTAATGCCGGTTTGATTTTAGCGCGCGCCCGGGGCCCCCACCCCAGCGCGCGCAATTTTGTTAAGGCGTTGGGTTGGGTTTCTTGGCGAAACCGGCGCGGGATCCACCTAGTCACTTGCAGAAAAAAGGCTGCCCCAGGAATCGAACTCGGGTCACGATCGGAATGCCACAGCGAAGTTGTGTCGGTAGTCTGTGGTGTTTTCGTCAAATTGCAAGTTCGTACTCATGACACTTCAGACTTCTACTAGTGTTGGAGGGAAATGTGTTCGCTTTCCTCAGCTGAACTCAGAGGTTTCCTAACTGGATTATATTCTTTCACACACGATTCAGGGTAGAGGTGTATGAAAATCTACAAGAATCACCCAAGGTTTCCTCACCGTTCTCAACTCCCGTAAGGAGCGTAATTTTTTCCCAGGCAAATTCGAAAATACGACGTTTCTCGTTAACGAGTTCGATTGAAACGTTCCTCATCATACAAGCAATACACGATTGGATCACCACGTTTCTCTGCTCTTAAGGAGGCGGAGGAGGCCTTCGATCGACATCTACATGCTCAAACTACCTCTGTAACAAGTCGTTAACGAGTTTCTTAGTCGAACATGTGCATATCTTCCAAAACTGGGCGTCCATATCTTCATGAAACGCTGCATATCTTCTGGCCGTTTCCAGTCTACATGGTGTTTCGGTGTTGCCACTGAGATCTATTTCGGTTTGCTCTAAAGTGGTATTGTTCTGAAGCGGCCGTAGCGGTGCTTTTGCTCGTAACGCTATCGAGATCCTCTCAGCCATTTGTTGTTTTTCAACTCAGCTTAGCATTCAGTCCTGCATGTCACCACCCAAGGAGCCTTCCTCGGTTTCAACGTATGCTCTGGCGAGTGCGTTATTCACCACTGCATGTGTTGGATTCGCCGTTATTCCTTGCTATGCTTACCATATGAAAGATGCAGTCCTCGTCCCCAGACTTGTAATCACTCTTGTTATTCACTACGTTATTTTTCATGTTTTATGTTCAGATGGTCGGAGCTGTGGTTTCTCAAGGAGTTACTATGGACATGCGAGCCGCATCTATGTTCTGTCTCAAAGGCGTCATCACCCTCTGCTTTGCATTCGGCTTTGGCGAGATCATGTACCAAGTCGTCTTGGCCGTTTGCCAGTGCTTGAATGCTGAATACTCCCGTATTTGGGCCACAGTGGTTACTTATCCCTTCAGCCTTCTCTTCGCATTGGGTACGCCAACGTCACGATGCAAACTTGGAGATTATATCATGCCCAACGTTGCCTCGGCTTTCGTGTACATTCCTACTTCACTTTACTTTGAAGAACCAGCCAAGGAGACTCTAGTTGCCTTCGTTATGGCCATATATGCATTTTGCCTACCTCTGGTGCTGCTGGCTATTCTCAAGGTCTTCGGTTTGCTTATTACCCCTGGTCCGCCGGCTAAGATGAGGTTTGCTTACGAGGCCGCTAGGTTCAACGGAATTTTGACTGATTACTTCGTCAGTGGAGGCACGCACAGAAAGCTCCTGGATGCTGCTGAGAAACGCTTCAGTGGTATCTGTGTGAATCTTGCTAGAAGTCCCCTGCCCCCGGATGTCGCTACTATTCTCTTCCACATGTCGGGAGAGCTTTTCGCCCTTCATGAGAGTCTCACTGAGATGGGCGACTTTGAACCAGCTGTTGTAAACCTATTGTGGAAACCCATCGCTGGTGACCTTCTGGAGCTAAGAACTGAAGTCGATTTGGTGTTGTCGCGGACGGCTGAGGGCAATACTGATGATGATAACGGCAAGCTCAAGCAGAAGCTTGGCGACTGTGAGGGCAGTCTCCTGAGGTCCTTGGAAGACGTCGGGATGGTTGTGGCCAAAAATGGTATAGAAAACGGCCCGTCTACCCCTGAGGTCATCCGATTTCACTATGCTATGGGCTCGCTGGTGTATTTCGCGTACCTTGTGGAGAAGTACAGAGAAGTCGTCGTGAAGGAGGGACAGAAGGCTTATGAGGGCGGCAACGAGGTGAGTCGAGCAGGGTTAGTGTGGCATCTGTCTGTGAGAGTTTCACTCGATGTTAATTGAATTTGTTCTGGAATTCAGAATGGATTCTAGCATCGTATTATACGTTCAAGAAGCGATTCTGAAATCGCTGTTTCTGAGTTTCGAGATCGGTATATTGAACGATTATTCAGGTTCGTTCTTACGTACGTCCATTTATTAGTTTTGGGCGCGCTCTTGCTGGATGGTGGGAAAAACCATTCTTCGCTGACCTCGAGGACAAGGCTGACTTGCGTCGTCGGTTGAAGTTCCCAATACGTTACAGTATCGCGCTCTTCTGTGTGGTACTGCCGTTGTCAGCTTGGGCGAAATACAGCGAAAATGTTAGAATGCATGCTTTCTGGTCGGTCGTGCCCATCTATATGTGTTTCCTGCCGACCCCGGGAGCATCTTTGCTCAAGGGGACGCGACGTGCGATTGGTACCGTACTGGGCGCGGTGTGTTCACTTATATGTATTGCTGCCAATCCTGGAGACAAGGCCGCGTTTCTGCTGGAGCTGCTGATCTTCAGCTTTATTGGTAGACTGGGTCGTGTCGCGGTACCTTGGGTCGACTACGCTGGTTTCGTCTTCCCCCTGACTTTCACCGTGGTTGGTTTTGGTTCGCTACTCCTCACTGGTTCGACGAGTTTCATGCTTTATAACGCTTGTTGGCGTATCGCTTTCACTCTGTGCGGAATAGTGATCGCCATGACCGGGAGCATCCTTGCTTTCCCACAGTTTGCCTCTGATGAGCTACGCCGGGCTTCCGGGCGTGTGCTGCAGGATGTGGTGAGCCAGATTGAGCGCCAGTTCAAATTAGTGGTGTCCATTAAACCTGATGATGACAGTACAGTCGCCGGAGACGAGCTTGCTGAGGGCGTGAAAGATCTCGGTTTGAAGATATATCGGTCGCTAGCCAACAGAGAATCTCTCAAGAGCGACGCTAGGGCTGAAATCGCGGTCTTCGGTCCCTTCACAAAAATCTTGGATGTTGATCGCAGAGTTATGTTGGAGCAAGAACTGATCGCGGAAGTCTTGCGTGATGCGTTGGTGCTCAGCAGCTCCTTGGGTTCGGCAGCGCCTTTCCTGGCGGATCCATCTGCAAGGAAAGCCCTGCGTCCGCTTATAGGAGCGATAAATGGTCTTCAGAAGGCCGTGGGGAAGTCGGCCGAGACGATATCAGCAGTGCTTTCTTCTGGACAGAAGGCTGAAATTGAACCCATCGTTGACGATGTAAACGTGCAAGTACAAGAGTGCACTGACCTTCTGGTGGAAGTGCGTAATGATTATCTCGTTGATATTTTGGACGGTCAGAGTGATCTACGTAAACTCAAGAGGGAAAGTGGATTCAGGATTTATCACACAATCTATGCTTTGACGGCGTTCGCCGTGAAATGGAGCACTTTGGAGCGTAACATTTTCGGTCGACAAGTGATTGCTGATAACTCGGCAGATCATTCTGAATCGGACCACACTGAGGTAGATAGTAGGGCCTCCATTAACCTGAGGAAGAACAAGCCGACCATGTAGGGTCGATTATTAAAGCGCTCCAATGTATTCTCCTGAAATATCTCCTCTTATTTGTGGCGAATTAGTGTATTGCTCAGTTCGTCATAAAAATACCGTGATGCTGTGGCTGTTCAGTTTTAACGCTGCAGCATCGAATTCATCAACTCTTGATTTACTGTCTCGTACGTCTGGTCATTTCCCATTCTTTTACAGGGGTTTTCGACTGTTGTTCGTACTGTTGAGTTCCCATGATACTCACTGCGTGATTAAATGGGCACATAGAATATTATGTGTATTATACTAATACAAGTCACAAGTATAATAGACATAATATAGTTTACATATGTTACCATTACATACACTATTACTACTCGATACTTTGTGTAAGGATAGTTGATGCTAATTTGACCGAGTCTTGTGCATATTGTGATGAGTTGCTTCCAAAGCCGACTATGTCTATGCACACAACCACCCTCTTGTTACACAGAAACCAGATTCACAAACATGCAAAACATACAAGCTAAGCTCGAGGTTTAACCATGTCTTGCGTCTTGGGCATGCCAGGAGACTGTCCAACCCATCGTCCACCAGCTGTTCTCCGTATGCTCTTAAAGCCCGACTGTGTGTCAGTGGGGAAGAGCCAGTGACTGACGTTCGTATAATAGTGTGGTCGCCCTCTAGGTTGAAGTCGTGAACTAAACAGAATCACAAATACATGGTGATCGATTCTTCACAAGTAACAACATACCTCGTGTCCTCTCCAATGCCTGGAGGCGTACCAGTCTTCTTCCGAACCATCAAAGGTGGTGGTATATTAACTTTCTGTGATCTCCACACCCACGGCATAATATTAGCACGCCAATGGTCCGCCCTGTTCCGGATGACACCCGAGTACTTCTTAAATTTGTATCTGATACTCACATAATTCTCAACTTCAAATGCCCCCCGATCGAACAACGCACTTATCGCGTTTTCTAGTTAGATTAAGCTCATGCATATCGTGCATCATAATGAGCCGCCTGGCCAGCTTTCCCTGATGTAGTGCAGCAGGCTCCACTTGCTTATCAGGAAAGGTCCGTTCGGCGACCTAACCGCAGGGAGATGGCTATCACAATTTCGGCTATATACTACCATTAATAAACTATCTCGCATCATCTCCACCACGTCGTTGTCGATATCGATGAGTGTCACATTCTGCAGTGAGTAGTTGATATTACTAGTACGATCTCGGCATAGTATAGCATCGAAGGCCTCCTCTGCCATAATCATCGTTGGACCTATACTAACATCATCAGCATCGCCAGTATACGAGAGCTCGATCTTTTGCAGTGTACCGATTGCTATATGTGGCCGCCCTAGGACATGTAAGGCCAGGCCGCGAACAATATGCTAATGAGATGATTCTAGCAAGTCGAGCTAATAATACGGTGGAGTTTCACCCGTTTTACGTGGAGTGGCGTAAAACTCGGTGAGAAAAACGGCGGTGATATGCAGTAGTCGTGATATTAGCTTTTCACTATTGTTTCTCATATCACTAGAGTGAAGCTCCAATATTATCCACAATTCCAAAGCTACCTTATTAGAGTAAATACGAATGGTATACGTATTACCCATCGAGCCTTTATGATCGGCAAACCCAAAGATCCCCCGGCCCAAATGAGGGATGGCAACTGATCTGATCTCGGCGTGAGACGACACATATTCCAAGGCTGATCGGATCGCATATCTAAACCGTCTCTCAGCATCTGTACTTGACCCTTGCCAAAAATATGGCATAACTACGAAGAATACTGCCGCTACGTTGTTGATACCTGAGCGGTGCCATATAACAGCATTGGACGAAATCGCCACATACCACACGATGGCGAATTCAATTCGATACCTATTATTACATCGCGAGTACAAAGCCGTATATATTACTATGAAGTATAGTACACTATCGAGTAATTTTATATTTTCATATTTATTAAAAAATAATTATCAATGATATCGGTTACATACACGCTAACATCGTTGGTGAAAAGTCGAAGTCAAACCGACAGATTTCTATCGCAGAGTACCGTGAGCCGGCGCCGGTATAACTGTTCCGACCGGTAGACCTGAATTGAAGTTGGCCTTCACCGTCGGGCCGAGATCAGGAGGCTCTATTTGCTCCCGAAGGGACTCGTCCGATCGGACAAATCCAAAAACATCTTTGATGAGATCGCGACCACCTGACAACATGCGATGAATCAAGTCGGGTCGCCACTCCGAATTCACCCAACACTCCGAAAAAAAAATAAAGTGAGTGATCGCCCTGCTACCTCTTTCTAAGGCCTCGAGTGGCAAGCCTCTATAAGGCATGATATTCGGTGACATCGGCAAAATCAGACAATCTCCTTGCCATTCGAAGATGCTACCGTGCTGAACCGTGATGCTCCCGAACTGAAAATTGCCACTCACTGGTTCATATCAACCGACCGAATCAATGTGAGAGATCATGCACTTAGTGAGCGACGAGTTTTGGTGACACCATGAAAGTTCTTTTGCTTTCTGTACACTGGTATGTGAATTCGTATAGGACAAATTTCGCAGAAATTTGCTCAAAATCTAGACATGCAGTTGAGCATATGCATGCCAACACTGAACTGATCAGATTACCGGTTCGACAGGGACGTTGCAAACAGGTCCCCGATACGTAGGTTTGATGAGCTCCTCTAGGCTCGTCAGATTTTCATCATCCTCGTCCGCCCATACCCCCGTTGGGACTTCTCCCTGCTGTTGAGACTTCTGCTTATGCGGGGAGGAGTATCGAAACTTGGTTTCTATTCGTTGCCTCGGTGACCTGAACTCGCGATCAAATCCACCACAGGGAACATAACTGGAGTTCGAATGAGAATCCATAAACACGATATACTCCCCCACGTGTCGCGACCTTAGCTGTTTGTCCACCATCCATATCTGTTTGTCAGCCTCATTAGCCGCCTGCAGCTCAGTCATCCATTGATTGTGTTGATGTAATGCCAAATTCCGAGCCTTGCTCTTCTGTTTGCCCAACCACGATAGACACCGTCGCTGGACAGCTACTGGTGAGGAGAAAGTACCACTGGTGGAGGCCACGTGGATCAACATTCCTAACAAAGCTAGCGAACTGCGAATGATGATTTTTTACCAAGTTAGACTTGCCGACTCTCACATAATTCGCAAACGTTATCCAGGATCAAGTCCCTATCAAGAAATGAACATATACTACATGCTAAACCCGAAAATAAAGCTCTTGTGCGAAGGTTTACAACCAATTCGAAATTTATGTTTGATAGTCAGAGACTTGACATATGAGGATATTTGGCTGCCCTTGAAAATAAAAGAGTTCATCTATGTATAATGGGTAAGAAAACTTTTGCGTTTCTCACTCTAGTCAATTCAACGGATTTGTCAAATATTTCTCTCTAGTTTGGCCGACTATTTTCAACCAAGTCACCTCCATATCACTCCACGCATTAACCTAAACATATCGAAGAAAGTAGTTTTTCTCTACAACCTCCTCGACGGCGGCTCTACAACATTTCAAGACCAACCCAGTAAATGCCCATACGAGATTGATAGGAGCCTGAATGAGAGTTCCCCCTCATACACCCGAGACCAGGCAGCGAGATTTCATTGTAATGCGCGTCATTGTTCAACACAACATAAGAATGTGTAGAGGATCTATACCAGAACTCGGGTCTGCGTGCGAAAATAGCACTACGCAGACGCACAGTCATCAATGGCGCGTGCGGCTCGGGCGAAATGGTTCGCCTCGAACATGTGGCCATCTTGACCCGGAGCATCCTTTCGAACACCACTAGCTTCAATGACAGTCAGACTCACCAGGATCATAAAGCTGAATCGGAATTCATGGTTCTCCCACTGACAGCCGATCACCTTGGGGACTTCCCCATGATGGGAAGTATCACCCGTATTAGGTGACGTGCAGTAGCAGCGGAAGAGATGAAGTTTTAGAAACTGCTAATATCTGCGACCCCTTGAACTTTCTCTCGAAGCCGACTAACCACCAAAACGGTAACTACTACATCAATTAAGCCTTCCACATTACCGACCCATACGCCCAAAGAATTAACAACTCGATGAGAACACAGTGATGATCTTCGCAGGGAGGAACACGCTATAACAGTCACGTGCGATGGCATCAGCCACACACAATCAGTTGAACAGTCTGGTTGAAGGGGATAAATAGTCACAAGAAATGCGACAGACTATGAAGAAATTCCGACCACTATGGGGAACAAGCCACTGAGCCAACGAAGATATTAGACAGCTACACCGATGCTCTTAGAACACCAGTTCCGCATCCTTCTTCACGTCATCGAAGGCGGTGCCGACCTGGTCCTCGTTGCCCACGGCCATAGCAAGAACACCGGCTTCTGAAAAACACACAACATTTGAGGGAAGAATTACATCGTCATTTTGGAGACTAAAATTCCATTGTGATAGCCTTGTTCCCACACACGTACCTCCGCCCTCGGCGGCACGGTCGGCGGCCTCCTTAGCCTGCTTCTCCTTCTTCTTCTCGACAATCTTCTTCACTCTGAAGAACTCCTCACGCTCTTGCTCGTCCATAGCTTGCTCGATGAAGTGAATAATTGTCTCCATACGAGGAATCACCACATATTCGAGAGCGTTCACACGACGTCTATGGACAGGAAACATCAACAACAGCCACATGAAATACCAACACTAGCCTACGAAGTCATCTTGATTTCCTCATCTAGAGTGATGAAAGATGTCTGCAAGGAGGCCATCCTGACGAGCTGAGGGAGAAGTCGTCACATTTCACAAGTATACACAGGAAGCACTTACGAGCTCAAGGACCTTGGCATGTTGCAGTCTGCAGGTTTGAATCACTTGGCCACCCTGTCCAGCACCAAGGCTCATCATGGGGCCCTGAAGTCAAAAAGAAATGATACCAATGACATGAAATCGAATGAACGACTTACGTCCAACGTCGTATCCCTCTGAAGATCGAACTTGGGAAGGAAGACACCGGCAACATTCTCAGCTGAAACCTTCAGAGTGACACTAAGAGAAAAACGAGATCAGCAGACTGAATAGTTACATCACCAAGCTTACCTAGGTTTCTTGACTCGCTGGATAACAGTCTGGACGAAATCACTGTCGCCGGCCCATCTAGCCTTAGCAATAGAGAAGGAGCAATCAGCCATGTTCTCGCCAACAGCTTTCTTAGTCTGACAAGAAGGAATGATGAAAAAGCACTTATACAATTGTCAAACCGACATCGACGATTTCCTTGAGCATCTGTGAGAATCTGCTCTTAAGGGCATCACGCTTCTTCTTGAGAAGACTATGGCCCTTCTTCGCGCCGACACCCTTGGCCTTGAAGGTCTGCAAGGTCATACGGTTGGCTGGGGGCATTTGCTGGGACATCTCTGGGAGAACTGGTTAAACCGGAAAAAACTTCTGAACAAAGAACAAGTCAAAATTCTACCCGGGAACTACACAGCTGACTTCCCGTCAAATCTGCAAGAGATTACATCACAGAGCTCGAAGAGTTAAGATCGCTAAAACGCAACTACACTTTCCCATCAACACCACGACAAGGCACGAGGTCAAGCGAGTCTCCGGAATGAACTCTGTAGATACTAAGAGAGCTTGCAAAGGCTCTCACCTAAAGCTCATCACGCTCACGCACAGCGAGGGTAGTTTCAGATAGAAGAAGCCTCAGCGCAGAAAGCGCAGCAAGAAGCGTGGAGATAATGCAAGATTACAAGAGCTCAGCTCAGTCTTAGCCAGAGCCTATCGATGCACCCCGGTTCGATCCCCGGTCGGAGCAATATGAGGAAGTGATGAAAACGTTGAATTCCCCACAATCGTGAATGCTCTTCTATCGGCTGCTGTTCGTACAATGGCTACCGCATTGCTAGGGCAATTTAGTATTTTAACCGAATTTTCATTAATTTACCCACCTTTTTTGGAAAAATACTTTTTTTTATTTTTCCCCAAAATTTTCATAAAATACCTCGGTTTTTTGAAAGCATACCGACTTCAATTGAAGGCGTTCAAGACGGCTGAAGAGATCGAGCACGCCTATGCTAATGTCAACCTGCATCCTGGTGATCTCAATACTGTTCCGAACTGATGACAGCTGTTATAACATTATAGTGTTTCCGTAGATATTTGAACCGTAACACTTCGAGGCGAATATCTAGGGAGGCGGTCGGGTAGGAAGATTCGCTCGTGTGAGGCTGTTGAAATCAAAACATTCAAGAAGGTTATCAAGTAGAGCAATAACGACTGTAACTCTGGAAGTTTATCGATTTCAAACTGAACCGATTTCGAGTAGTTCAATTTGGTGTGGTATGAATCGAAGCTTATTCACTTTCCTATTCAAAGGTCCTTTTAGTAGGAACTTGAATAGGCCCTTTCAGAAACCGTCAATGGTTTATGAATCAATACTATGATGGTGATGATGGTGATGGAGTACGTCAAAGTAGTGCAGTGTCTTCGGCCAAGGGTAATGCTACTAAGGGAATTTTCATCAACTCTATTTTGCCGAAACGTGATGTTCTTCTTTATCTTTTTACGGTGAGAATTTTGTGGGGGAAAAATATGCTGCACGACCCCCCGGGCTATGAAAATTGTGAGGAAATTTTGAGAGATTATTGTTGGTTTCTGTACACTTCGTATGTGAACTTCTATAACTAGTGATGGAACTCCTGAGCTCAGCTGAGGAAAGGAAACATCTACATATTCCTCCAACACTGGATGGGAGTTTCTCATATACTCGTCTCGGTGTTGGAAGGGTATGAGATCACGGCACGCATCACCATCATCGGCAATCTACGTTCGACTATAATTTAGTTTCCACTCAAGAAAAACGGCACGCATCAGGATTGTTTTTTGCATACTCTCGCAGTGTGTTTTTGTAGTCTTTGAACTCTCAATGGATTTCGATTCCAACACGCCCGAATATGCAGCGTCATTCGTATCATTTCACACTTCCAATTTTGTAACTCGTTACACTCTAGAGATCTCCCTCGCCACAGCGCCCTTCAAATGGCGAATAACACGTCGTTATTCGGAGTTCCTCGACTTGCGCGACGTCCTTGCCCTATCTCATCCAGTGCAAGTGCCTAGAATAGCCTTCCCCAAGAAGATCATATTCGCCTCGTTGGCACCAGATCGGGTTCTCAACGAGCGTGCCCACGCGTTGACAGACTGGCTCAACCAAATACTCAGATCAGTAGAGCCTGATCCTATGTCGATTGCATTGCGGCAATTTCTTAATCTGTTTCAACCATGTAAATCTCTACCACCTGATATGTCGGTCGGACTTGACAACAACAGTCCAGTCGGCCCTCCTGTTCGCAGTCGTGACGGGCGGACTCTCCTGGTGCAGCCACTTCCGGTTTATATCTTCTCTTACCTTGAGACTAGGGATTCTTCCCATCTGTCGGTTGTATGCAAGGGCTTCTGGCAGGCCTCGACGGACCCTCTACTCTGGTCGAGCACCGGATTGGAATTCTCTTGTCCAGATTTGGAACGACGTCAGCAAGGCCTGATCAGGATCTTGTACAGGGCTGCATCGACGCTGCCGCAAATGGTCCTTAAATTGAGATTCAACGGCACGCCGAGGCTGCGACAGTCGTTGCCTATGTGCATGCACTTTAATCGTCTCACGAGGCTGTGCATGCGTACACGGGACGGTGCTTCCTACCAACTGTTCTGTGAGATTCTGGATAGTGTGTGTTCGTCGGACTACATGCCCTTGCGAGATCTCGATCTTTGTGGCCCCCTCGACATGGAGTGTCTCCGTCCTCTTGAAGAGGTCATTAAGCAGTTGGTCAACCTCCGACTCACTTGGACGGACAATCCCCGTCTTGGTTTTGTTGATTTGACTGAAGACATTTGCATTGTAGTTGAGGAAATGCTATCAGCCGCTAAGTCTTTGCGGGCGTTGGCAATCATGGCAGAAGACGAAACACGCCTGAGGCGATCGACATTCACAGACTTGATTGCTGTGGTGGCAAAGCTCCCTTTATTGGACGCCTTCGAGTGTGACTTCATCGACGACAATCAGCTGATGAATACCTTTTCTATGCCGGAGGAGGCCCTACGACCTATTGTTATGCACATGACTGGACTCAGAGCAGCGCCGAATATTCGAGGAAATGTATTTGCACAACTTTTGCCGAAATTATCGCCGAATTTGATTTCACTTCATTTGGAAGAGTTCCAGAATCCAACACAGAGATGGATGTTCCAAGGCGTAATTTTACCGCCGATATATTCCCTCAGTGACAGTCTTCACTTCGCTCACTTGACTGATATAACACTGACGGCTGTCGCTTCCCTGGCGACGTCGGGTTTGGCCGCACTAGTGGATGCTACTGCCGAGAACCTGCGAGTTCTCGCGATTCGGGACTCCATTTGGCACCTGTCGGACGAGTGTGGGGCAATTCTGAACTCGGGAAAGCTCGTGCGTTTGGAGCGGTTAGAGCTGATTGGTGTGAACGATCTATGGAGTGATGCTTTCCTCGAGGACATGGAGTCTATGGGCTCTTTATCAGTGTTGAAGCTGAGTCGGAGTCGGAATATGACCGATGCGGCTATTAACCATTTGAAGAGAGAGTTGACGCCTTTGGCGCACGCGGAAGAACTAATGAGTGGAAGATTATTCGAACATGTACGCTCTGGACCATCGTGCCATACTTCTCACTTCTTTTCGCAGGCACTGGGCCCCTCGATAAGGATGAGTTCGAGGTCGCATGCCAGTCTAGGAATCCATCCCCATTTGAGTGGGACCAACGGCACTGGTTTGCTGGCCAGTAACAGCAGTAGCAATTCCCTGTGCCACGAGACCGTCTTGACGATTCTGCCCTATGCTCATATATATGAGCCTATCCCTCGAGACGATGGCATCCATAGGTCGCCCAGATTCATCGTTCAACCATTGCCACTATAGATTTGGATATTATCATATTTTTTGAACATTCAACACAGCTTATATCTCGTGCTGCTGTACAATAATCGATCGTGCTTCGTGAGATTCAGGCGGACTTGAGTGTGAAAAGTTGAAGAAATGTGGTATCACAGAATAGACAACGTGGTGGTCGAATGCACTGATAACAGACGTATGAACGCTCATGGGAGCGTATCTCTCACACCCCCGTTCCCTCCTTTTATGAAAGGCGATCCGTCCCTCCAACTGGTATATTTGATATTACCACTGATTCGGTGTATACCCGAATCTATCACAGTGAAAAATGGCGGTACCCTCATGGGCAGCAGTACGTTCCGTCCAGATAACGATGCCGACAGGAAGCTTTACAAATAGGTGGTCACTCGCCTTTCGAAATCAGTGGCGAATTCAATCACTGCATAGGTGTACTCGGTACATCCGCTGTTAATCACTGAGTTCCAGTGAGTAGACTACTGCTATGACTCTGCTATAACTGGGTTCAACCACTCCGAAGAACTCAAACCCAGAGCATTTAGAGAAACTCCAATCACTATCAACCTCACACATCCGAAAATTAAACCGATACATTCTCCGTCACCGGCATGAACTGAAATGGCTTTAGATGCATCATAACGACTTGGCGTTATATACACTTACCTTATGGAGCCATTTGAGCTGCCTCATATTTGCCTCTGCCGCAGCGCTACCTCTAAAGCCGTGGCCTTCGCCAGGGAACACGACAAAACGAAGATCGGCGGCCATGCCGTCCGAGCTCCCTCGTTGATTGTCAAGTACATTGAAGAGAACCTTGCTGTTCGATACAGGACATATGTTGTCCTTCGACCCTGAAAAATTATGGAGCACTATTACTATCACATAAGGAGCGTATTTTTTTCTTAGGCAAATTTGAAAATTTAGCATTTCACACTAACTGAGCAGTGTTTGATGCTGAAACCTCAACAAGGCTTGAATTTAATGATGAGCTATGAATATATTAGAGTTTCACCCGTGATGTGAAAAACACTAGTGAAAATTACTGCATACCGCAAATATCGGAGTTTCCACAGAGTATTACGCCACTTCACGTAAAACGGGTGAAACTCCACTGAATAGCCAATCACTATCACCAATCATCAAAAACACTCCGTTGGAGTGATTCGCTTCACCATCAAGTCAATGCTATAGGATTACCGTGCATGAGCAGTAGTGGAACTTTGAGCAACTGCAGAACCTGGGGCCCGAGTATATCAGCTTGTTGCAGCTGCGGCGGTACCGGCCACGCTGTACTTTCAGACTTGTTTGCCCAAAACTCATCTTCATAAGTAAAGTCACCTGAGATATGCTTATACAAGTTGGGAGGAATACACACTAGACTCACCCGTCTCCGCTCCGTTCCATCTGGTGGAAACCCACGGGTATCTCGCCACCACACATTGAAACATTTCCGGATGGAGTATGACGCATCGCAAGGCTAGGTATCTACTGAAACACAAATTGTTGCTGAGTGAATTCAGGTCAGCGACAAAGGGATACATGTAGCAATAGTGTCCACTTGACACTTCTGATTTTTCCCAAAACTATTATCAGAATTCTCTACACGATCGAGATCGATTTATTATCTGTTGAGAAGAGAGCCCCAAGCCTCACAATTCGAAGCTGAGCAACTTGACAACAACTCACCCGCCATAACTGCCACCAACAAGGCTAACACGACCGGCTGACGTCCCTCTCATTTCTCTCTGCACATGCTGTATGCCAGTCACAACTTCCTCTACATCGCGACTACCTGGACTCAGGGATCATCCACAAACCTACGATGTTCCCGGGAGCAACTTTATTTCGAATTTCCCACTTGACTAAGAGCAATTGAAATCAGTTTCCCATGCATATTCGCCACAGTTATCAGATCCGTCCACAAGCAGCTGACGATTTCTCTCACCCTGTGTGCCGATAGTCGCTTTACTCCAAGAATCACCAAAGCCCAGTGTGCCACTGAAAGCCGGTACAAAAACTCGATACCCTCCCGTCAGGAGGTCTCGATATCTACCAAATGCACACAGTCGGATTGTGCAACGATTCACGATTGTCGCACCTGGCATATATTCCAACTTTATTAATAGGGGAGATCCTCGAGCAGGGACCACCATGTAGGCTGACCACCAACGGGCAACCCGGGCGGGACACAGCATCATCCCTCTGCTGTAGGTAGTATAACATACCACAACACCGATGCCCAGGCTCAACATCCCATTCGAGCTCAGTCACTGCCAACGAATCAGCGCTGACGTCGTATGGGAGAGCGATGCTTCCGGCTAGCTTGCCTGTCTTGGCGTCAACAGCAACTAGAGATAGTGCACTGAAACGATCACATTTCCATACCACGCGCCGGACTAATCACGGTAGCCTCACTCTTTCAACGTATCGCTCCCGTAAACGTAAACTCCTCCATCTGGCTGATAGCCCATCGTTCTAGTAGTGCAGGGCACAGACAAGCCCAGGAGAGCATCAGTGTCACTAAACTCAGCACTGACGGCTCTGATATACCTACCGTAAACAGTGTAAGATGATCAAGTCATAATGACCACTACGTCTTGTTATGGAAGCCGCACTGCACTGTCCACCATAGGGTACTAGGAAGCCCTTCTACCCATCCGAAACCAACGATAAGGTCACCAGGGTGTGACACCGCCACAGCCTACGTGTCACACGAGATCCTGCTTCGTCACACTTGCCACTTACTCGTGTTTTGTTCATATCGTCAGTGGAAATTCCAACATATAAATTCAAATGGGTCGAAGCTGCTGGTGCCGACCTTGCAGGCTCTACGTAGTTCGCCATATACGCAATGTAGTTCCCACAAGGTGAAGGTTCATAACGATCTGAAATATATGAAGACTTATTTAAGTTAGTACTAAACAGATACATTAGAAATTAACATACATTTTAACTCCGTAATGAATTTGGCGTTGCCATATTAGAAATACAGTGCGTATTAGATGCTACTGTTGATAGAATTCAGTGGCGATGTATGTCGGATCAGAACAACTAAGCATCCTAATTTGCATAAATTAGAGTATCATCCTCGATCGAGCTAGATGAGCCCCAGACCTACCAAGATTCCCCGCCTCAGTGGTAAGCGCTCTCGCCTTCCCTCCAATGGGCGGTGGCTCCAAATCGACCATCATCAAATCCCCAAGAGACGCCTCCGTCGGCAACTGTAAGAGAACACTAACAACTCAGTGCGACACATCCTTACGTCGGTCTTATCAACTCTCCATACAGCCCAGCTCACATTGCGAGCAATCTTCACACCATTAGCAAGTCTGGGCAGTAGCTCTGGGTCATTAATTAGAGCTTCGCTCCATCCAGTTCGAGGGCCGTATCTCGGAAAAAAAAACGATAAAACGAATCTCAACATTTTCGAAAGATTCATAAACCATTCGCCTGCCCGGCGTCGCTCAACAAGACTAGTTCTATACTCAGTCACTACACCTTCCCACACGGTCAATGTTGAAGATTATATACATACATTTTAATATCAGATTTTTGGTGAAGGTGAAATTAGCTCAAAACCCCATCTAGTTAATGAAAACCTGCCTGACAACAATTGCGCCTTTTAGATGTCACGTACTGTAGATCATAATTTCCACACTTCCCATACCTTGAAGTTTCATAAATGGCGTAATACTCTCGTGGAAAACCTGATATTCGCGGTGATATGCAGTGGTTTGTGAAATATGATTTTTTTCACTAGTGTTTTTTTTCATATCACTAGGGTAGTGAAACTCCATTAAACGAGTCTTACCTTAGCAATGCACAACCTGGCCTTTTCTTCTCGTGCACCCCAGGCTCGAACACACTAAGAGAGCACGACTACTTCAGGAGAAGCAAATCGGCAAACTCACATTCCCTCCAAATCGTCATCATCATCATCCCCCTCAGTAGTGCCGTATGCGATAGCGACCGCCACTGGGCCTAGCCCTGAGGAACCAGGAAAGTCCACCTCTACTTCAATCCAATCTTCACGATAAAATTATTACGTTCATCCTACTACATCCTCTCATCACACAATAGAAGTTTTTCACGAAATGGTAAAAGTAAAATTCCGTATAAAAATTTTTGCAAAAATCCATTTCCATTCTTTCAATTTGTTTTTTCATTTGCTCAATTTGGAATTGGGAAGTAGTAATTTCATCATTGGCAACAACAAACTCCGAAGCCTGACTCAACATATCTCTCCAATGGCTGTTTCCAATGCGGGGTTTTTTGCGCTTTTTTCAATACCGAATTCCTTCTCTCGAACCGCTCACCGGGGACGAAAGTAGCATCGATGCTCTTGATAGTGTCCGGCCATGAAAGTACTTGTGAAACGACCAGAATTGGCTCCACTGCTGACACTGGGGTACTGAGCACGCCTGAGCATAACGACAAGTGAGGACCCCCCATAAGGGAAGTGCTCCTAAGTGACAACATTCACATGGGAAAACTGATCGGAGAATGTGTTCCTAGCCATACGTGGAAAATTCAAAGTGAGTCTCCCCGGACAATTCTCTGTATACCATTATCATCAGAAGGTAGGATGCGGACCTCCCCCTCCTAGTGGACCAGATGGTCAACTGCAGCGTGCTGCTTGCACAGCAGTAATGACCACCCTCTTCATCAATACTCACCTCGCCAAAGTCCCCCTTTCCACATCTTGAACAGAACACAGTCGGGCTCGTTACTCGGGATGGCCTGTTGTACTCCAGATAGAGAAAACCCAAAGTGTCGCGAAAGAAGGCGAGATCCGCCACCGCCGCCGCCAGCTCTGACACTACACACTGATTCGAACGGCTAGGAAAGTAACTATTACTTCGAGCGTGCTGTACTGTTCGAGGATTTCTTAGATCGTATTCCAGGACCACTATAGTGTGAACCAGTCAAATCGATAACTTTTAATGCAACATCAGTCAAATCCCACGACGTTCTGAAGAACCAATAACAGACTTTGGCAATGTTGGAGTATAAGTTCGCTTCCTTCAGCTGAGCTGCCGAGTTTCCTCACTTATACCATGAGTTTACGTACGAACTATGGTAGTAGTGTACAAAAATTAATAACATTTTTTCGAATTTACATAGGACTTAGAGTAGGAGTGCACAGTAACGAATGACAATTTCCTCAAAATTTCCTCAAAGTTTCCACAAAATTTTCTCGAAGTTTCTTCATGGTCACCAACACTTAGGTATAAGACAAAATCAATGGTAGAGTATCCCTACATAGAGATGGTCGAGGTAGTGAGAGCCAGCCTGTAATTGCTGTCATCGTTGAGCCTCTCCCCCTCATGGGACTTGACCGAAGAGGCATCGCTTGCCGCATACCGCAGTAGGACCAGACATCTGTCCTCTACCACAGTAACAAAGCAAATGGAGGCGTTCAACGATGCAGTCTCGCTGGGCACTTCGTCGGGACTGAAAATAAGACGACGTTCCCAAGGGTCAGCCATGCATACGCCTATCCCTCTCACCTTGAGATTGGTTTAGGATCAATCTCGGGTATAATAACAGGCACAACCATAAATGCAATATCTAGCAATAACAACGGCGACAGGGGAAACGATCGCAGTAACACAACAACAGCATAACCATAGTCAACCTCCTTGAATGCGATCAAAAATAGCTGCCAATGCGGCAACAATCAACATGGAGCCACGAACGCTACGCTCGACATCAAGCGTTCACTCCTTCCCGTCAATGCAGATCCGAAACACTGACGGCTGCTTTCGGTTTTCCAATTGCAAGCTCTGTGTACCTATTACACCTGCCTGCTTTGGAATGCAATTTTACAGCTCTATTACGGTATAAGCTAGCCCCACGAAATACCGTCGATGAGCCTATCAACACCTTATCTCGTCATCCGCGATTCCTCCTCCTCCTGTAACATATTTCATCTCATGTATCGGTATGAATATTCCATCAGTAATTTCTATTTTCAACAAGTCTCAACCACATCTCATAATTGCCGTCATCCCACTCTACCATAACTCTCCCCTATCCTTTTAAGTGACTTTACTATCATCCAACCTCTTAACCATAACTACCATTTTTTCAGCGTTTATCACCAGTCCTACATACTACGCTCCTCTAGAAAGAATTCCACCTGCTGAGTGAGCACACGATTCCCACATGTCGTTGATCACAGAATGAAAGTGAAAAACTTGCCGCTAGCATAGTCTCGAAATGTCACATTTATCACAAAGCGATGTTAACCATAACTACGTCACTACAGCAAAGTCATACGCATTAACAACTAGAACTAAAGCTGATCGACAAAAATGGAGGAAAGAACAGATATTGCTAACTGGACATAATAGTGATGCTACTATTTGAAATGCATTCAGTCAGTAACGGTAGAAGATTGAAAACAAGCAAGGATATAGTTACTCACGAAAATGAACCCGGGTTCAAATCTCCGTCGGGACGCTTCTAACTCTTCAACTGCTACCGAATTGAACAATCACTCACTTCATATCTACCGAAACCTTCTTTGCTGAATACATATCCTCGGAAAAATGAACAAGTACTGCACTTCAAATGCTCTCGAACTCAAAAGGGTCCGCTGAAACCCGCTGACCAGCTTCTGGCCTGGCCCGGCACGGCTCTATGTAAACCAGCGGGTACTTGTTCGCCTCCTTAACAAGATCATCTACAACACATATCAGTAGAGTGCTTCAACTCTTCACTCTACCTCCCTTAGATTCCTGTTCGGGAGGCACCTCTAACTGCTTTCCATCTGCTTGCGGTCCCAGCATACACAGAGTTTCCTTACTATTCTCATCAACTTTCACAGCCTGTGCTCGGAACGATGAAATCGGACGATTCGGACTGATGAAAAACAACTATATGACTTCACTCCTAATCTTTGTCACCTGTAAATGCGGCCCCCGTCCCAATACCAACGCTGATTGCCGTTACTCTGATGCTCATCGCAGCCATACACCACCAGCTGGGCCCGACCGAAGGGCTTATTCCCGCGATCAAGACACCGATTATACCTCTTATTATACACTCTAGTACCAGCATGTGTCTGATAACAATGAGATGAGATACAAATCTCTTCCTAGCCTTCTACAGGAGGACTACCCTAGTCCATATCATCCGTGTGTCGTGAGGCTCGCAAGGCATATATCTCAGCTCCACCTGTGCATTCTCGTCCTTCACATTGGAGTCCTTAGTAGTTCTGATCTGACATACAAAATCAGTGAATTCTATCAACACGTAAACATTTAGCAGGAGCATTCGTAGATTCAATATTGAAGACCCTCCAGTGGGAACCAACCCTTTATGCGAAGTAATATTTCCCACGCCTCCCAAGAAAGTCAACTTTGAGTAATATCAACATGATAACAATGTGAATCGAGTATCACCAAATGCATAACTGTTTGGTTCGCATTGTACTTACCACTACTTACCAATGCTAAGCACAAGCCACTCTGTATATGACGTATAGCATGCATTTTATCAAGGAGCAGACCTTGGTTCTCGAAAACCGACCAGAAACGTTCCATGAAGCCTTCCTCGAAAGATTGGCATTGTAAACTATGCCGTACCTGATAACTGTTCCTCCTACTCGAACACACACAGTGTTGGAGGAATATACGTTCGCTTCCCTCACCTGAGCTCAGAAGTTTCCTTGCTAATCACAAGAGTTTATATACGAACTAGGATAGAAGTGTACAGAACCCAACAAGAATTTTCCCAAAATTTTCATTTTGTCACCGACACATGTGCATATTTCCCCCTTCCACGGCTTACAGCAAGCCTATCGCCTATATGAGGCCCCATCTGGTTATGAGTCATCTCATATGCAGCAGCGCCATGATGATCCATAAACCAATCCAGCTTATCATCGAGATATAGGAAACCGGCTCGAGCGTGATTACGCTGAACCTGATAGAAAACATCATCCCATTGACTTTGAAAATTCATGTTGTAACACTCAAGTTCTCATGTTTCAACTAATCAACGCTTCCAGTCATGTCACTATCCAAAAGCACTATTCACATAGTTCACTTTCCATTGAAACCAAATCAGTGTTGGAGGAATAAACGTTCGTTTTCCACAGCCGAGCTCATGAGTTTCTTCACAAAAATAAAAACGTTAGAAATTGGGTAAAAATGTCCAGAAAATGATAAAAATTTTCCCAAATTTTCCTCAAAATTCTGTAGTTGACCATGTGCTCACCTGTCCACTTCGAACCTTGTTTTTCGGTGCCGGTCTCTCGAAAATGTGCCCAATCTTAGCCTCGCGATCCACCAATATCTTCCCTCCACACATCCATACACGCAGCGACTGCTCTATATTCTCGCCACCCCAGTCCAACATACCTAGCAGCACCAAGAGCACTTCGACACGCCGGAAATTCAACTGCGCTAACCTTGGTCGTATCCTCCAGACTCAGTCCACCAGCGTTTAGTCATCAGCTGTATACCACCCACTGCTATCGGCACCTCATCGTTGTTATCATCAAACCAATAAAACTCAAAGTTCCATTCAAACATCATCTTAGACCCACCGTCCATCGATCTGTGCTCCCACGTAGTACCTACCACACCACCCGGGTTCAATTCCTGGTGATGACATTTTTCTACCATTAACATCAGTAACAATAGGAGTTACTATAGTCTTATACCCATTGTTAGCTATCATGTTTATCATAGATTGCATATAGCCCGGCACCACTCTGCAATGACCATCCAAGAACAGTATGTATGTACCCCTAGCAGAATCAGCTCCAATAATCTTCGCCCGTATTAATCCCTCCCGTTCTGGTAGCCGTAGTATACGTATTTTTCCCTTTTGCTCCGGTGTGAGATCCTCTAACACACCACCCTTATCAAAAGACTGCACTACTAGAGGCTCTAGGGGATCTTCAGAGTTATCATCAACCACGAGAATTTCGGCCAACAACTCTGGTTCAGTGTAGAGGAAAGTATAGTAAATAGTCTTCACCAAATAATCAGCTTCGAATCTCGCTGGAATTACTATCGTCGTACCTGAGTTCATCATTGAAGTTTCACCCGCGATACGGAGAGCATCAGTAAAAAATATGTTTCACAACTATATCGCGTTTTTCGCCGAGTATTATGCCACCCCGCGTGAAACGAGTGAAACTCCAATTTGAGACTAAATGCCACACGCAATGTTGGAATATATGTTCGCTTTCCTCAGCTGAGTTCACAAGTTTCCTCACTAATTATACAAATTTTGGTACAAGTTCGCAAAAAAAAACCAATTGGAATTTCCTCAAATTTCACTTAACATTTTTCCCAATCACCAATGACACTTACCAGGGAGTAAGTCCTGAATTTCCTGCCGACCCGTACCTGGATCCACAAGGACGACTCCAGAAGATGAGGAACGCGGTGTTCCGAAGGGCTTCAACAACAAGAACATAACCAGTGGTACAAGCACAGGGGCCTGAATACATCGGAGTTTCACACGTAAAACTCGGTGAAAAACGCGATATGCAGTAGTTGTGGAATCTGTTCTCACTAGTGTTTTTCATATCACTAGGGTGGTGAAACTCCAATATAATTCCAATACTGTTCATACCAAATAGCGCTGGCGGAATAATATATAATAAATTTTTAGGAAAATGTCCATATCTCACTCAGGAGCCATGTTCCTCACTACTACTGTGAAAAAAAAACAACAATCAGCTCTGATTCCCAGTTAGGTATATGAGATCGTTAGTACCAGAAAATGCATCCCCTTGCTGCGCCGCACGCTCTTGCTATGTCGCTGTGTGCCTAAGCTCATTGGGCTCGTCGCCGCGAACACTAATGACGATACCAATACCATTATGATTCGACCTGAACCACACGAACAGCAGCACATACGACAATCGAAAATATAGTAATGGAGTTTCACCACCCTAGTGATATGAAAAAACACTAGTGAAAAACATGTTTCGCAAACTACTGCATATCGCGAATATCGGATTTTCCTACAGAGTGTTACGCCACTTCACATAAAACGGGTGAAACTGCAAACAAACAAATATTAATAATATAATGATATTCATCACGAATGATCGCTATATTCCAATAATAATAAAATATTACTAATAACGATGGAGTTTCACCACCCATTTTACGTGAAGTGGCGTAAAACTCCGTAAAAAACGCGATATTCGCGGTACGCAATAGTCGTGAAATATGTTTTACATATCACTAGGGTGTTGAAACTCAACTACTTTTCTAATGTTGACTCACCTAAAGGCCGATTCGCCGGCCCCAGACTGGCCGCCATCACCATCACCAATGCTAATTGAATATATAACAATATTTCACTCCTATTATGGTAAATCAGATTAACCGATTTACGAAAACATAATCGGGTGAATCTGGGAAGGCAGTAACCAGTCGCCTTAGGAGCCGCTTCAGAGTCCATCACCGAAGAATAACAAAACAACAACAACAATAACAACAATAACCCTGCAAACAGTTGACAAAAATATACAACTAAAAAATTGGGAAAAAATGAAATATATAACATTCAAATTCGTAGTTATTGAAATTAGTATAGCTCAAATTTTCCCCCACTTGAGCTCCAAAACCACACATCGCTAGGGCATACCACCCAGGTTCGAACCTAGGTCGGCAAATTTTTACCACCAACTCTATATCGCTCTCCAAGAAACGTTTAGTCAGAATCACTATCCTCCCCTCCTGCTGATGATGATGAGGAATCACTAGAGCTGCGGGACTCATCCGACGTAATCTCTTCGATCAACTTCTGCGGTTTTTCCTCAATTTTAGTCGCTACTTCATCCGCGTCTTCCTCGACATACTTGAAGCCGACCGCCGCCAAACACTCGTCCACGAACGACACGAAATCCGCATCGCAACTTAGTTGTTTTTCCAATGCTGCAATTCTAAAACGACTGAATGCTGTGAATCACAAAACATATTAGATGGGTTCACCTGTCATCGGCCGAGTCTATCCGTTTTATCACTTTCCGTAGGACAGGATGAGACAGTTTGCTCAACACAGGTTTCGAATGCCGCAGTTTCTAAGAACAACTCCAGGTGAAAATTTTCACTCGAGTTTGTTATCACAATACGCGCGTTAATACTGGAGTTTCACCACCCTAGTGGTATGAAAAACACTAGTGAAAAACATATTTCACGACTACTACAGGAATCCGCGAATATCACGTTTTTCACCGAGTTTTACGACGCCACTTCGCGTAAAACTCCACTGATACCCTACAACCCTCTCATACTTCTACTACAGTCGAATATCATAATCACAGATGTATTCATTTGTCAACTATATCTATAGTCTATACAATAGAGTTTCACTCGTTTTACGCGAAGTGGCGTCGTAAAACTCGGTGAAAAACGCGATATTCGCGGATTCCTGTAGTAGTCGTGAAATAATTTTTTCATGTCACTAGGGTGAAACTCCAATGATATATAGTATATAAGTTACGCTATAACAAGAACAAATATAATATTATGATGCTACGGTATGAATTTTCACCCGTTTCCACACGTGAAGTGGCGTAATACTCCAATTCTCGCGCTGTGCAGTAGTCGTGGGATATGTTTTCCACTAGTGTTTTTCATATCACCAGGGTGGTGAAACTCTGAAAAATTTTAGAAATAATAATGATAATAATAATAATTACTATTAGCGGAAACCATCGATAAATTGTATACAAACATCGCGAGTAGTTTAATACAGCGCAAGACCACATGCCATTGATACCTCTAGGTCTTCTTTGGTGCAGCTACTGTAAAGTGACAACTCAGCATCTTGGAAATCATACAACTGAACACAACTTGTGAGCCACAATGCTTGGCAACTGCTTCTACTACTGGTTTCCGCTTTCTCCGTTGGGGTATATCTTCATCCCGACGCATGCCGCCCGTACAAGGCTTGCTGGTGTGCTCTTTATAGCACTTAATACTACAATACCGGCGTTGGCAACAAACTAATCTACATCGGTGCCTCTTGACAAGTTCAAAATAGTGTCACCATTATTACTTATATTTGCCTTCATTTTTCAAGCACACCCAGCAAGTTTCCACGGACGGTCCCGATCGGCCCTGTTGGGCGCCTTTCATCGCATTTCCTTTGCCCTTTCCTTTACCCTTCTTGGCCGGTCGGCTGCCCGATGAGGCTTCAACCGGAGGAGACGATAGGAGTCTCGGGGAGGAAGACATAGAGAACTAATGAAGTATATTGTGATTTGTGGGAAAGATGGTAACCGAATTCCTTAATTTCAAAATCGAGCGAACCGAAATACAATTCCGTGAAGTGATAGAAATATAATGAGTTCGACAGGCGCGGCCTTCCATTCACCGCCGAGTCGTTCTCTCTTCCCAGAATTGCAAACTCGCCATCGCTGTGGTATCCCAGTTTCTGGGGATTTCGGATGCTCCGTTTCGGATGTGTATTCCGCCACTACTTGCATAACACAGACCCGATCGCAGGTTCTTACCAAAAATCGGTCAACTCACACGAGAGAATAACTCGTCGAGATGCAGACAACCAGAAATCACCGAGTAGCAAAGGGTGGGCCTTACTGAGTCCACATTCGTGAGTATTCATATTCAAATCTGTGGAGACTTGGCGTCACATACCACGAATAGGTACGAATTAAAATGTTTGTTCTGAGGTGATTTTCCTAAGAAAGGCGGCCTGCAACTTTCCTAGGGAGTTTTCGTATACTTATCATAGAACTTCCACCCGCCGTACCTCTCAAGGAACAATTGCGAATTTTGTAAGAAGCAAGTGCGCGGCGTCTCCAAGGAACAACAGTCACGCGCCACGAAAATAGTTAACAGTAACAGGGCCGCACTACGTTATCGTAATTTGTGAGAATGATTGGGAGAGTGGTAGAGCGACCGACTTTTATGAGGAGGACTGTGGATCAAATCTAATTTATGACATTTTCATCAGAATATCTCCGTGTAGTACTCTGAACTGAAAAATCCCCATTACGGTTTCAGGTGTTTCGTGCGGTGTTTGGCCGTTTTTTTCTCAACGCTTGGAAGTAACACGAATGTAACTACTGAGGCCATCGTTAATACGTTAATAGTTATTATGCATTACCGCGTTACTCGTCACTCCGATAACTGCGTGTCGGGATTGTCCTCGAGAATAGCATTGTAGACATCTCTTTGACTGAACAGTAGTCCTCGTGCTCCGAGTCACTGGTGAACGCAAGTTCGTCGATGGGAGGTGAATGAATGGTGACGGACTTGATCCAGAACCCGAGTGGGCAGGTGAATCAGAGGAAGAAAGAATCACTGAGGAGAATGCAACAGGTATGTAGGATGATGAATAAAGCAAGGGGCCAATCATATCATCACGAACCATCCTCAATATGGTCCCTCCTGAAAACAGTGAATCCTGAAGAGGGTGAAGGGCGAGTGAATCCGTTATAGGGAGTTTTTCTCCCACTAAAGCGGGTGAAAGCCTGACAATAGTGAACAACAAACTCGCCCGCACCGGTATTCCAAATATAAGTAATTTTTCTACCACTCCTTCCCGAACCGATTCAACTTTCAATGATCACACACTGTCCGGTTGCTTCATGTTTGAGTAGTCAACTTGCTCACGGCCTGGTCGTGAGCAGCTGCGGTGGCCCGTCGCAGCGCTGCTGAGGGCTGATGCAGATATTATATCTTTTTCACGCCTAGTTCTTCGTTGCGTGTCTTGAAGAGACTTTTTAAAAGTACGAGGAACACGGAGGGCTTAGTAATAGCTTCCTCGGCCTTCAGCAGCAGAACCCACTGTCTAACCTGTGCACGCTTCATGTCTTGGCCCGTTTTGTAGACATCCTCCTACAAACCCCTCATTTTAGCGATATCACTTACGATGAGTCTCAGATGCGAGAGCATGCGTACGATTGCATTATAAATGACAGGATATCGCCTTTCCCGCGAGCATCCGCGACGGACGCTGTAGGGATTCGGAAATCCGTGTCGTCTCTAGTCTTGTTTTGATCAACTATTTTGTCTTCCGTTCCACTGTTTCATTGCGAGGGATTGAGTTTTCAATCCGTTAGCAACTAGCTGAAATACGCGATTCCCATAAGCAAAGCGTTTGAGTCCATAGTAGCGACTGTAGAAGAAGTGTGGGAACCTTGTTGTTGAACAATTCTGGTAGTAGGCAGGCTGCCTCAGACAGCAAGTCCTAATGTCTGTTCCTGTTGAACATGAACGAATACAACTTCTATACTGAACTCCTGGATGAGTCATCCAGGATGACCCGGAGTAACTGCTAAGGAAGCGCACGAGCTAAGTTAGGCAGGCTTACTGGCCCGAGCGTACCTCAATCGCGTCTCAGCAAAAACTATCTCAGTCTAACTGAGTGTAATCCAACACCAATTATGTATCAGAGCATGTATATGTCGCTCGCCATGTTAATTGATTACAAACCTTTGGTTGGTGTTGGATTACAGTCAGTTGTAAAATTACCTTGATGAACTTCAGATTTGAACCTTGGACATTCGATATCTAGCACTACCGCCTAACCGCTAGACCAATCGCTCGATACAACACAAAAGTCGTAAGAGGACCTTCAGTTGAATTTTGTTGGCGCGCCACGGGCGCGCGCTCGTTCCTTCACTGTTTTGAGGGTTCGAGGGTAATTTTTTCCGGTTCACCATTTTCAGGATTCACTGTTTTCACGGACAACCCTCAATATTATGGCCTTCTTCCTCATCTTCACGAAACCGTCACATATCTCCCAGCATATCTTCGTGCATTATATACTCTCACACTGGGAATGGTAACGTGCAAGATGGAATACGGGTCGGCTATCCACTACAGCATCAAGGTTCGCAGGGGAGAATCTGGCCGCCAGATTCTCCGCCGTTACTTGAAGCAACGGGGATTTGCTTCAAACTATCTACTTCTGTCTTTCAGGAGTCAGTGTTGTATCATCGAGTGAAGCATGCAACTGTACGTCCACTTCAATCTGCGAAGTTTCTACCGTAGGTTTCCTCTAGTGAGAGGCGATGTTGGGGCGATCGGAAGAAAACTCGAAGTGTATGTAGGCAATCCTCGGCAAGAAGTGCATTTCAGTTCAACTACAGTATACAGGGCCAGACCATGCACCTGAGCAGTTGATATCAATCGAGAAAGGAAATATTCGTCGAATCTTCTGAACTGATTCGACCGACATACACTATGACAGTCATGAACTGATTTTAATTTGAGTAGCATCACGTTGTTGATTCGGCTCGTCACTGCTCCTGTATGCTCAGTCCTTGCTCAGGAGGACTTCTCGAGGGGAAGGTTGGTCGACCTTGTGGCAGCGGTTGTCTTATCGAAGTTTGAGTCATTCGAATCGTTTCCGCGTGAGTGATACTCACTGAGGCGGGTGACGTGGAATGGACGAGGACACCATCTGAATAGAGAGTCTTAACCCATCGACTGACTGTAGGGGATGAGGAGTGGTGGTTACTATGCTCATTGGCTAATACGCATTCGTTAGTCGTGTGTTCGGGAGAGTTGTCGAGATCAGTGATGTTCAACACAACCATAGGAGAGTAATCAAACCTAATTGCTCATGTTGCTACTTCTGTAGCTATTATGTTAAAATTTTGGGTAATAAGTTAAAATCAGTCGGTAAAAGATTAAAAAGAAAGGTATTTTTCAAAAGAAGTGGTTAAATTATTAAAAACGCGGGTAGAATATCAAATTGACCTGGAAATGCTGTAGAAAGTATCGAGTATCAAAACGGTCGGGCGAGCTTGAAACAGGACTTTGAACTATTCGATGAAGTCATGAACTACGGCGTGTGATAGAGGATACTCCTCGAGATGATTAACACGGCGATTTTGTATTACATTTATGTTGGAGTTTGTCAGTGTAGTACCAAAATATGCACGGACGGGAGAGGGTTGTTGTGTTGATGTATTCAATTTGATTGGCCTTATTCGCTCAGCCTCAGCCTTGTGTGGTATCTTATGGTACTACGGTTAGTCTCTGTCGTGGTCCAAGGATTTGCCAAAGAAGTGGTAGGAAAATTTGATCGGTCGGTGATAATTCAGCAATCATAGATACTACTGTATGTGATAGTGAACATTCCATCGGTATGGTATAGCATGATAAAAGCAGACGATATAGTAGACCTTTTGTGGTGTATGAATATACCTGGCCTTGTTGAACTCGGGAGCAACAAAAACTTGAGTCATTTGCTGGCAAGTGAGTGACGATAAGGCAAGTGCGAGAACTGAGTCAGTTATCGCATGCTATCCTTATATAATATTCTAGTCTGTTTAGATTTATATATTATCACTCCATATAGACTTCGACAACTCACTATAAGTAGTCGTTGCTGTTGTTGTTTTTTTCATGTTTTTACCGTTGTTGTTCCCAACTAGCCCTTATCTTGCGATATTTTCTTAACTGAGCGAGCTATATGAGATCACACTGAAATCTGTGATATCAAACTTTGCATTAGAGTCCAGGTACGGGTCTGTGCCTTGCAGTAGGAGGACAGTGCTATCGACGGCTTCCAGTGCAGCTGATTCCTGGCGTGCTGCCTCTCATCGGTGAGCCTTTTATGACAATTAGAATAGTATTGGTTCTTGTAGGTACTTTTGATAACTCAATCGCATTGATGGTGATGATATCGGGTATCTTGTTATTGTTTGGTGCTGTCGCGGCGTCCACGGTTGGGTTGTAGACCACTGTAAAGTTCTACTAGACATACAGGGGGTTAGGGAGGTGAGTGGAGGCGAGAGATGACTACACACGCCAATGTGAAGCCGCGATTTGAGAGAAATTCAATTGATTGCAATGCTACTCTAACAGTAATATCAAACAGTAACAATATGAACTCAATGTTCGCTCTGTTGTTCGCGTTGAAGTACTTTGTGATGAGCCGTTCATCGCCGTATGGTAGTTGGTTTGTTCTGCGTTATGGAGTCGATTGTCGACTCGCTCGCCCTTGTTATTACATCGGACGGTTGTGATGATGAACATGGTGGGAAGGAGAAGACATGTTGCTGCTCCTGCCGAGATTCTAGTAAGGGAAGTGGTTTTGGCACATACCGTAATTTCCCCGGAAATAGCATATTCAGCTCGTGTGCTGATTTAACGGTAATTCTATCAGTTTTATCATCCTTTTATATCTAGTATATCGTTAACTTTTGGAGCTATGATATTTCGTAGGACTTATTGTGTATGTATAGAACTAGGCGCAGTCTAAAGAGCTCGTTTCGTGTCGCCGACATCACTTTTCGTCGCAAGCTGAAATTTTGTATATAACATCTGCTAACACTACAATGTTGTTAAAAAACGTCACGAATCAAATTCTCAACAAAAAAATTATTGTCTGTTTTCATTTCAACCGGCATTCAACTTGCTCTAATCCGTTTCGAGGTGCTCGTGAATCGCCATCACCCAGTGACTTGTCAGTCAGCCCATCTTGTGGAGCTACACCAGCTGTATCGCGTCGTTCTCATCCGGTCGTGGCGGTGGAGACCCCACCGCCGGTTTGTATGTATAGAGCTACCGTGGAGGAGGTTGAAGCTGTCAAGAGATGCATTATTGCATATTATAAGTATGCTCGGTGTTGTCGAGTGAGCGACAGTATGTGGTTGTCATCAGACTTCAACGTATTCGAGGGCAGCAACCAACAAGAGCAACGATGAACTGTATCAATAGCTTGCGAAGATCATTAGATCTCCACAAGCGCCCTTCGCCGTCGCGTATAGATACTGTTGGGAGTAACAGCGGGAAACCTCCTAGGTCTCCTCCACGCACAACATCTGGACAGAAAATGCTGTCGCCGAAACCACCACGTGTCACCACCAACGCACCTGTGTCACCACCTGGGTAGTAATTTTCCATTGTGAAGATGGTGGTGACAACTGCAGCGACAACTATCGAAGATATTACTTTGCGACTTTCTCGGGGCTTTTTCTATACTACCAACGAACGACGCCTTTTTCCTCATTTCGAGTTCTGTCAAGATCAAAGAGAAGAGCTGATCTGTCGGCCTGAGGTTGATAAGGCGAGTCGAGGTATACTTGTCGTGAAACTACGTTGATTAATGTCCCGAGGGGAATACATGTTATATCGAATTATTTCGTTTTTTTTGGAAATCTTATTTTTAGATGTTTTTTGGCCCCACGTTGTTGTCCGTAGTATGTTTTAGCGGGTATATACTTTTCACGATTTTTTCTAATAACGCTCACATATGTGTCAACGAGATGATGTTTTTCTGGTAATAGGAGAACTCGCCGCGAAGTAGAATATATTTTTTCGAGGACTCCTTCACTATTGCTACGACTCCGGGTCTTTGTTGCTGTCATCCTATGATGCATCGCTCCGCCGTTTTTGTTAGTCAGGCGAACGCCTGTTTCTATCAAGGTTGTGTGGACCGTGATAGAGCATAACTGTGATATCGATTCCGCATGCGGCGGTGTCACTGGGGCGAGGGTAGATTTCTGTGGTGATGATAGTTGTAATTTGGAGTGGAGGAAGTGGAGTATCTGTGTCGAGTTGTAATAGCTTTAATGAGGAAATGGTAGCTTTCCTTATCGCATGTTTTGTATTCTTTTTCCGTCGTTTAGGAACATATTTTGGTCGCGCTTACCGCCGAGGTCTGTTTCTGATTTTGGCGATGAATCACATACAGATTGTCAGCCGTTTTGGGACGATGCGTACTCTGTTGCGGCCACAGCGTTCGAGGCGACTGAGTGCATCACTGCGGTGGTTCGATCGCATAGCAGATAGTTCATCTTGTCACAGAGGTTTGACACTCTTATACTGGAGTTTCACCCGTTTTACGTGAAGTGGCGAAATTCTTTGTGAAAAAAGCGCGATATTCGCGCTATGCTGCAGTGGCCGTGAAATATATTCTCCACTAGTGTTTTTCATATCACTAGGGTGAAACTCCATAATGACTAGTGCTAATAACGGGATTTTGGGTGCTGTGAGTGGCGCTGGCAAGGCTAGTCCGATAGCGGTGAGGACCGCCCTGGTGTCGGTCTATGATAAGACTGGTCTCGACAGCTTGGGAAAGTGCCTGGCGAGCTACGGTGTTAAGGTGAACTTTCAAGCCGACCAAAGAATTCGTTCGGTGATGGTTGTATATCAGATATTATCAACGGGCGGGACTGCCAAGAAGATGAAGGATTTGGGCTGCTCGGTGATGGACGTCAGCGAGTACACTGGGAGTCCGGAGATTCTCGATGGTCGTGTTAAGACCTTACACCCTAAAGTGAGGCATTGTCCCGTGTGTGTTTGCGTGCAGTGATCATCTTGCATCAGTAGTAGAGTGGGTGTATGCTTCCAGGTGCATGGGGCGTTGCTGGCGGTGCGCGGTAATGAATCTCACGAGAGGCAGCTAGTCGAACTTGGAATTGAAAAAATAGATCTTGTTGTTGTCAATTTGTACGTGCGCGAGCTCTCTGTTGGCCTACTCATTGTTCGCCTAGGTATCCGTTCGAGGAGGCAGTAGCGTCCATGTCATCGGACTTCTCTGCATGCATCGAAAATATTGACATCGGAGGCCCATGCATGGTGAGATTTGGAAGGAGAACGGCGCCGGAGTTCCCATGCGCAGATTCGAGCCGCTGCGAAGAACTCCCATGGTGTTTGTATCCTCACCAGCACGGCTGATTACGACGAGTTAGCTAGGGAGCTAGCAATGAACAAAGGGTAGTGCTTGTGGTCGAGTTCTATTGTGAGTGCCAGGTTTGTATGAGTCAGGTCGACCACTCCGGAATTTCGCAGACGTATGGCATGCAAAGCTTTCGCGCTGACAGCCAGGTGAGAAAATGTTGGAAAAATAGCAGCTCCTTGTTTCGATCAAGGGACCTTTGGGTTATGAGCCCAACACGCTATCCACTGCGCCAAGCTGCTGTTATGATATGATAGTTCATACTCTGCCTCACCGATTGGACGCTTACTCATTGTGCCCTCGTCAGAGGATATCACGTTTGTTCGTCATGCCTCAGATACGACAGTAAGATAGCTGCCTATATGTCTTCGCTAGCGGATTCGACGGAACCTCTCGCAGGGTCCGTAACGCAAGTAAGTTGGCGTGATAGCTCACGTCTACAGAGTGCGTCTATTGTATGGTTGCCCTACTAGGGGGAGCACTCAGCCACCCCTACTAAGTGTGGTTCGATGTACTGTCGCAACCCATGCTGTACTCAGGCGTTCGATGTGGTATCACCTTTGAAATACGGATGCAATCCTCATCAGCAGCCAGCGGCTATGTGCAGTGTGGTCGGCAATGGCGGAGCGATGCCTTTTAAGGTTTTCATCTTGTCTCAGGATCAGCTAGTAGTTCCCCTTCGTTGCAGGTTCTGAATGGAACTCCAGGGTATATAAACCTCCTGGACGCGATTAACTCTTGGATGCTGGTCAGAGAAATGGATACAGCCACAGGGTATGTTTCATACCACCTTTTTCTACTCATTTCCTTCCTCATGTTAGACTCCCATCCGCGGCTAGCTTCAAGCACGTGAGTCCCGCTGGTGCCGCGGTGGCAAGCGCCGAGTTGCAAGGTAGGGCCCAGGGATCGATGATAATGCCCTCGAGTGTAGAGAGAAACCGTCTGTTCCCACTTAGGCAATGAGGCTTTCGTATACGAGGTGGCTCCATCAGCACGTGGTAACTTGACTCCGGTGGCTCTGGCGTATATCCGTTCGCGAAACGGGGATCCTATGTGTAGCTTCGGCGACTTTGTCGCGGTCTCCAGTAAACGAATAGGGAACGTCTGAGCGGCCTGGGCTCGTTGCACGATGGCTTTGTCGTAGGAACCGTTGATGTGTCCTTGGCCAGCCTGCTGAAGTCCGACGTATCGGATGGCATCATCGCGCCAGGATACGAGCCTGAGGCGTATGAGATTCTCAAGGCCAAGAAGGGAGGTAAGCGCATTCGCTATAGGTCCTCTGGAGCTGGTCGCATCGAAGTGTTTCCTCTCATTTCCGGCACCATATTTTTAACGATGCTTCGTCATGTTTGTACCGCTGATTTCATCCGCTGGTCGGATGCGCTTTTGTTCATGGGCATTTTAGCTTAGATCAGTTGTGACAGTAGAGAAGGAGTACCACAATTTGTGGCGTATCACCCCTTCTACCTTATCAAGCTCTCCCTATATCTCTGAGAGTGAGTCTATCATCTATCCAAACGAGCCGCCTATTGATCCGTCGGATCCCAGTGACCTTAGCCAGCATGATCCTGAGGAAACTATTGCTCACCGTGTCATTGTTCATCCTAGAACTCATCGTGAACCTGACAGACTTATTTCTTCCATATGGTGTTCGCAGTCATTGGAAAACAGGATAGGAGGGGCTGTTATAGAGTCGACTTTAATTTCCGGAGGGAGATTGCCGTCATCCTTCGTTTTTACTCACTCAGGTAAATTCGTAATTCTCCATGGGGATACCAACTTTGTATGTCCCGAAATTGAAGTTCGCTCCCTGGGTGGCCTCGGTCTCCTGCAGAAGAGGAATGATATCATCTTTGATTCGTAAGCGTCATTTCTCGAAACTGCTGTTGGCTGTTCGAGATGATTAGGTCGTACTTACAGAACATAGTCACTAAGGCGTCTACGTCCTTTACACAGCAGCAGATCATCGATCTCATCGTGTGCTCTATCGCTGTGAAGTAGACTGTGAGTTACTACGCTGCTCGAATTGGCCTTCCGGTAGGTATACGCAAAGTAATAGTGTTGGTTTTTGCAAAGATGGTATGATGATCGGAATTGGCGCGGGCCAGCAGAGCCGCGTTGACTGTGTGAAACTGGCTGCTAGGAAGGTGGGCGTGACTCCACCCTATCCACGGCACGTTGACTAGCATTGATAGGTCCAAAATTGGTGGCACCGCCAACACCCCAAAGTTTTGGGTATGAAATTCAAAAGCAGTGTGAAGAAGCAGGCCCGTGTGAATGCCCGTGTGAGGTATATCGAGGGGGATATGAGTGAACTCGAGTACACCAACTGGAAGGCCGACAACTTTGATCCTGCTGATGTGATGTGCTGTGACGTCTGGACTGAACTAGACTGTGAGCATTAGGTACCGGAGCCTCTGAGTGATGAAGAGAAAGCCGCCTTTATGAAGACTCTCACGGGTGTTGCTGTATCCAGCGATGCATTTTTCCCATTCCGGTAGGCGAACTCTCTACGGCGCTCTGCCTGGCAGCTGTGTGTCAGGGATTCTATCGATGTATGCAGTCGCTATGGGGTAACGAGTGTAGTCCAACCAGGTGGCTCAGTTGCTGATGCAGAGGTCATCGAGGCTTGCGATCAGTAGGGAATCAAGTGGAGCAACTTATGTAAAGTGTATGTCAGATATTCGATGACAATGGCCTTCTCTAGCCTGAGGTTGTTCCATCACTAGTGTGTGGGGCGAGCGGCGTCATGATTGTTGCAAGGCTAACACGACTTTTTCAATGGTTTTCCTGAAGACTATCTTCTCGCGTTCGCGATGCGGCACGTATGTCAATGTGTGATTGTTATGGAAGAACAACGCTATGATGATAATAAAAGTTGACTCGAGTAACTAATGTTCGGACAATTCTCAGCTTTTCAACGATTACTTCAGCCATATCAAAAGCGTTATACGAGTAGGAAAACCTGTCATTACAGGTCATACGGAAATTGCAAATGACATTACCATATCTCGAGATTCACGCACTGCAAGTATTATACGTGCATCAATACTTGTGCGCGCCGAGATTTATGGGCGAGCGAAAATTATCTGAGAGAATTGCACAACTTACGTGAAAAAGTGAATTTACTTCGGAGTGTAGCCTCTTAAGTCGATGTGAGCCTCTTACATTGTGTGGAGTTGAGCATCGGAAAAATTGCGATCTGAAAGATATCTCAAAGCCCTTTCTCGAGTGCAGGAAGAGAGAATAATAATATGCGTATATTGGCGGAATTAACTCCCTAGGTGCAGCCCCGAGTACTCCGAATTCCCGCAGCTCTTGAGGCGTTGGGATTTGTTCCAAACAATGCTCAGTTGTATCACAGAAATGGTCTTTGAACGAATAACATCCTTAATCTTGATCATAGCGGTGACTCGGGCAACTCCGAATCGGAATCTCCAAGTTCGTCAGATGCGTCCATCGAACTTCACGCTCCCGCCAGGGTGTGGACCTACTAAGAGGGTCGGCAACCTCACTTACTGCATCACCGGCTCTCTCGATTTGGGCAGGGAGTGGTTGGTTGATTTTAATATGAATTTCTTCGATGTCTTCGTCAACAATAGTGTGAAGTTCGGGCTCAACCTTGCGATTGAGGACGTTGGCACTGCTAAACACCTCAGTGTGAATACTGGTGGACGCGCCACTGTGGTGAAGCACGACTTCTTTCCTGACTGGCGACCTAAGGACTTCGTTGGTGCAGTGACCATCGGAACGAGAGGCGGCAACACAACGTATGATAACAGCACTAAGAAGTTTGTCTCCAACTTTGAGATATATGGTGACGTTGATATTTTCACACAGGGAAGGAAGTTCATGAGCATGCCGTTTTCGACGCCTTTCGGTTACGCCAGCCTGGGTCAGGACTTCGATGTTGAGTTCAATGGTTCTGTCGTGGCCACCGGTGGAGACGAGCAGGCGAATAGTCGTCTGAACTTCTCCTTGGCCATGTCTACACTAAGTGGTTCGGTATTGAATTGGCATCTGTATGGCGGCTTAGATGTATCAATTTATTGGGAAAAATATGGACGCCATAATTTTACCATACCATTTGTTGACGAAGATATTCAGATTCCGTAATAATGTGCCCACTCATCCCTGTCTCTATATATGTTGCTACACACAGCACATTGAAGGGTCCTTTTCAAGAGCAAACCGACTACTTCACATTCGAGGTTGCATTTTTTTGTCGAATGCATCATCGGGTTCGCTTGTTTCCTAAGGGGAGTCGAAAATGTAGTCGAGCAACATTTGAACATTTATTCTCACCAGCTGATAGTTGACAAGATTGTGATGTGTTGTGAATCAAACCTTCGAGTGAATCATTGGAATTGATTTCAGCCCGTCTGAGCAAGGACTGTGGTTGTCGAATCCCTGTTGACCTGCGGGTCGGATTCACGGATGTTTGTGGTATCGTGTGATCGACGACGATGAAATGTGATCTACTCGCGAACTCGAATTCAGGAAATAGAGTGACCGACCTTTCTTCTGTTATGACACACGTGAAACTTGCCCCATACTGGGTAATCCTGGGATGTATTAAATATCCCACTCCTGGGCGCGTGGGTCTGGTGGGCTGGAAGACAGAAGATGTCTGTGGCTTCCAGCCCTCGAACTTCGAGGCTCGAAGCATCGAGTTAGTCCGACGAGCGCCTCTGCTGGCGCCGGGCACGTTGCTCTCCGGCGGGCGCGTGCCGGCGATGCGACGCCGCGCACGGTCGACCAACCGATGTTTGCTCCCGGGAGTGGCGGGCTGGGTTGAGAGAAATCATACACGGCATACGCCGTCTGGTTCTGTAAAGCTGCGGCGACGTTCGGCCGCACGGGTCGTTTCACGACGCACCCTGGATAAGGGTGGAGGACGCACCGCGGATAATATGCGCGTGTGTGACGGAGACGCACTGTGTGACGCGCCCTCCGTATCGGTATTCAACTTGTGTTAACTAGTTAACACTTATTATTACGATGAATTCCCAACAGAGGATTTGACCATCTAGCGAGAACTAGCGCGGCTCAGCATCCTCACGAAAAGAGCAGGGGGGTTCAAGAAACAACACAAAACAGGCTCCTGAGAGTGCTGCTGAATAGCACTTTTGAAGTGTTCTCCTGGAATCATGTTCAACCAACGCGCTCCCGAAATATGTCTTGACTGATACAGAATGCCCAAGTAGTTCTTGTCTGATCTTATCAACACTCTCGTTCATTTTGTGACATCTGTCCCGAAAAGGATGTAGCAACGGTAAGCTAGAGCTTAAACGTACTTCAATGTTAGGATGGTTCAACTTGTCGAGGTGGAATTTGCAGCATTCTCAGCTACAGTTGATCTCTCGTTGGGTAGCTATATAACTTCCTTATGTTTCTCAAAGCGGCGATCCTCTCCTTATCGGCGATTGTGTTGGTCAGTGGTGACTGCAACTGCTCTCGTAATGACATGCCCGCCGATGACATGCCTGAGCGTGTGATCCATCCGTTGCCATATACATACAGGACCGAGGAGTCTCTACCTGAGCATTTCGATTGGAGAAACGTTGACGGGACCAACTTCATCACTCCTGTTCTCAATCAGCATGCTCCGAGATATTGCGGTTCGTGCTGGTTACATGCTGGCGTTGGTGTCCTGAATGACAGACTGAAGATTGCTCGTAAAGGTCAATGGCCAGAGGTGATGCTAGCACGTCAAGTGGTGTTGAACTGTGGTGGTGAAGTCGCTGGAAGCTGTGATGGTGGTTCTGATTATGGTGTCTTTGTGTATGCCTCGCTATATGGTATTCCTGATGACTCGTGTCAAGGGTATATTGCTGAGGAGCAGGAGTGTACTGATATTCACAAGTGCATTAACTGTGATCCTCCTAGTGTGGGAGCGCCATGCTATCCAGTGCAAAGGTAAGTGCCTAGTGTTTTCTATGGCCGGTCTAAATCGATCATTGCAGGTACGGTAAGTACTATGTTGACGAATATGGTAAGATGGAGAACCCCACAGTTCACCAAATGAAAGCGGAGATCTTTACTCGAGGCCCTATCTCTTGCGCCATCACTGCAAGTCTGGTCGAGGGAGACGGTACGCCAAGGACAAACATTGTCAATGTTAAGGACGAGCAGTTGGAGACGGATCATGACGTTGTAATTGTTGGCTGGGCCGTCGATCCCGAGAAGGGCGAATACTGGGTAGTGAAGAACTCGTGGGGGAGCTTCTGGGGTGACAAGGGCTATTTCTATGTCAAGAGTGGTGTCAATGCTCTATCTATTGAAACGGAGTGTGCATGGGCTACTATTGAGGCTCAACCGAGAGTTGCAGACTACGGCCCCAAGGACTGGGATAGAGTATTCCGGTCGGCATTGAAACCTAAGGTTCCCGAATGCGAGATGATCACTGTATGAGAAGTTGTTCACATAGGGAAGACTTTTTCTCATCGTATTCACTCTTTTCTAGATCGTTGTTTGTTTCTTGACCATGTAAGCATCTATTAACATAGCTCGATTCGCATTAGATTAGATCATAGCTTGCACATGTTCCATTGCACTTCCTTTCTTAACTCGAATATTACTGCGAGCTTCGAATTTCAGGGTTTCTCACAATCTAGTGAAGTTGATCCGAAGTTGTGTTAATCTTTCTATCAAGGCGAAATGAATCACCTTAGAGTTGCTGAAATTATGTATACCCAACCTTGTTCGTTCCCTGAAGGCTTACGTGCGCAGCTTCTGGCTAGTGTGGAACGCAATGATCAAGATTTCGATAAGGTGGCAAGCGAATTTGAGGAAGTAAGCACCTCTTTTCTTTTTGGGTATGGTCCCTCTCGTGGTTCACAGTTGAGCTCAGGAGTTTCCTCGCTAGCTATAGAATTCTATATACGAATTAGGATAGAAGTGTTCAGAGTTTGGTAAGGATTTCCCGAAATTTTTTTTAGGATTTTCAATGAAATTACACATGTGTTGGTGACAATATGAAAATTTTTATATTGCCACCAACGCATGTGGTTGGGCATGTGCATATTTTTTCACATTGCTTTCGCAAACCCTCCACGTACAGGTGCGGCAACAGCTCTGCCATGAGGACCCGGGCCTGTCTGTTGGTGATGTCGGGGAGTTATTCTCTGCCGAAGCGCTTGAACGACAGTGGCGCCTCATAACGACGTAGTCTGAGAAAGGTCTGTGCGCGCTCGTGTAACGTCGAGCTCTCAGTGCAACAGAAGCTTCCAACGAGTATAGAGAGTTGAAAGTCGTCAAATCGACGGTCAAAAAGTTCGAGTTTGAAGCCCCTTCAAACTACTCTATTTTTGATCGCACTTTGGGTGACGAGTTTGCTGCTATTTATGCTCACGTTAAGGCCAAACTACCGAGTACGGTGGCAGACGAGCCTAACTCTGAAGAAAGTGGCGATGAGGTCGCTGAAGTCTTCAGTAGAGACCGCGCTTTCGGTACAGTGGAGCCGCTGAAACGGTCGCCAAAAGTAAGCAATAGTGCATCGAGGTCCGTTAGCGATGCAGTGGTGAAAAATGGTGGAACTATGGCTAGTTCCTCGCGGCATCCGAGGTCCCTGCAGAACCCGAAACTGATTGATCAGGTCGGGGCATCCAATGCACCGAACTGGGAGGATAGAGAGCGTGATGACGAGTCGAACCACAGGAGAAGAACACCACCTATCGGCGAACAAGATGTTGAGATCGCTAGCGCACACATGATGAGGAAAAGTATGAAAGCAGGGGTGGACAATGATGTGGTGACTCGCTGTTGGCGAGAGAGTCAGAAGCTACCGCGGCCTCCGGGAAGGCCAACCATGAGAGACGAAGATTTCGTTGGTTGGGAACGAATGCTGGAGGGGACCGCGAAGGGTAGAGAGGTCAAACAGCGCAAGGAAGAACATGTGGAGGAAGAGAACCCTTTCAAATATGGCAACTGCCTGCGCATGATTGAGAAAATGACGGATCAAGAACGCGCCCGATACATTGCTTTCGCAGAGTCCAAGCGGGCTGAAGTGAATAGGTAATTCGCGGTGTTCTCACGCTCTCTAAGAATCTCCATGTGTCAGACCAGGAACGAGTGGATTCATGCCCGAGCCGAGTCGCGAGGTATCAACAAAACGCCTAGAAGTAGACAGATTGGCCCACGCACTGCAAGAGAAATACAATATGCATCAGAACATAGTCGATAGAAAGCATCGGTAGGCTGTCGTTCCTACGTAGAGTGGTAGAGACTGCTATCAGACGGTCCCTGACCACTTTCGCTGCCACAAACAATTTGAAAACTAAAGCGGACCCTCTCAAAGAGACTCGCCGGCAGAGGTCGCCATGCAGCTCCGCTACCTCGAGTCCTACCCACAGCGGAAACTCCGACCTCGACCGAAGCGAGCAGCCGTCGAGTCCAATCGTGACGTCAATGCTTAAGACCTGTCCCGAGTCGCAACTGGAGTGCTTTGAAATAGACTGTGGTTCGGAGCTCATTGCTGATATCGTGGGGGTAGCATGTCACGTCATGGGCCATCCAGAGGCTCTTGCTGCTTTGGAATGGCAAGGGGACAAGATCATTGTGGCGATCGAAGGCCGACAGTGGACTGCAGTAGCACGAGAGTTGGGCTCCTACTCACGTGTCAAGATAGTGAATACGTCTGATGCACTTCGCGACCTGGCCACGCCTCCGCATGCCGCCGCCTCCTGCGCTCCGTCCTCTCCCACATCGGAGAGGTTCGAGCAGAGTGTGACGATTGCTCTACCGATCTCATGCGTGGAAGCTCTGAGGCACTTGATTGAAATGGCAAGTGCCAATGGTATAACAGTGATCGGTCTGCGTACTGCCGCTTTGAAGGGCGCTCCTGTGAGCGCACACCTGCCATTCGTAGGGCGGCAACTGATCGACGACCATCCCAAGCTGCTGGTTTGCTTGCGAGGACCGAACTGTGGAGAAACTCTGCGTCGCATTCTGGGTCCGGGTGATCCTACTCTGGCCAAGCGGACTGATCCCGACAGCGTCAATGCGAAATTTGGCTCTGCCATAGTACTCCCGTCGATCAGCACGTTAAGTCTCAAAACGAACCTTGATTTCGCATTCCCTCCTGAGCTCGCACGCTCTCTCCTACACTATAGCAAACTGGCCGATTATTGCATTGACATATCCCTTCCTGTGCTGAAACAGGAAATTTTCGGGACTATAGTTGGCGTACTCATAAGACGACTGGGTAGTGTACACCGCATTCGCTGTACCGAGAGAAGCAGAGTGCTCGTTGAATGTACATGTGAGCGGAAACCTGACCTATCAGCACAATGGCTGGTAGAGGCTGTGAAGACTGCATCATTTCAGCGTGATCGTCAGCAAGGTTGGCCGACTCCAAGTAGAGAGGTTGACGTACTCGATAGCGCCAAGTTTGTGGTGTACGAAGCCCAGGAGTCTACCGCCCATACGTTCAGTTCAGCGGCTGTGAGGAAAACAGTGGAGATTGAGAATATAGTCATGGCGGTTTTCGGTGACAATGCGGAAGATGTGGCAACACCAGTCGAGGACCTGTGTACCTTTTTTGATGCTCCAGCAATCATCGCACGAGAGAACGAAATACCTCCGGCAGCCTCGACCATTGAGCTCATTGGATTGGAGGTGCGCGCTACTGTAAAGCTCAGTACGGCTCAGAAGGAAGCTCTTGTGGAGTCGCTGTCCGTCTCCTACGGCGCTAACAAGCTCAATGGCGACAGACGCTTTTCGAAGACTTTTGTGTGCGCATGTGTCTTCCGAGGGAAGGTGGGTTGCCATGAGACGATCAAGGAGTTCATTACGACGAGATGGCGTAACCGAGCATTGGTACGTGGAGATGTATTGTTCACCGGAGACGCAGACGGCGCGAACAAGATCATCACCACGATCATGCCAGGCTGCTCTCTACAGCCTCTGGCTTTTGCCACTACTAGTCCAGTTGGACTCGAACGATATATCGGCCTACTCGAACACCTATGGCTCGGTATCATCCCGCATACTCTTTCTGTAACGAAAGTGATTGAAGAGCTGGGGAGAAGTGGCTATGGTATCAAGGACGTTGTTGTACTCTCGGCGAATGAGGCGCATGAGGCAGTGGACATCATCATCGGCCAAGACTGCCAGGATGGTTTTGATGTACACCGCGAGGAGACCGATCGAATCTGGATCAACATTGAGCGTATAGCTGGATCGGACAGCCCATCCTCACTGTTCCTGTATGAGATTGCCACTCTACTAGGTGCGACTGCATGGTGTTCCTCCTAGGTCTCTAGGGTATCCCTATTGTAGGTCCGCCAGATGTGAAGTTGTCGAAGAAGTACGCAGCACCCTCATTGCGTGTTGCATGTGCCATGGTGAACAAGTCAGTCGAGTTCGATCAGTGGTCGTCCACTCAGACGAGTCGTACATCGATAGCTAATCCCATCCTTTGCCCGAGCAGTGTTGAAGTTGCACACAAGGTCAACACGATCGTATCCGATCATCACACGAGAATATGCATAGTGCGTTAACATGAATAAAGATTCATGTTCGTGATTTCTATGTAGGAACTCACTAGCGCGACTTGGGAACGCCAGACAGTGATTGGAGAGAACACGTCGATTGGTGAGTGCGGCGTTCGCTTACCAGCCGCTCGACATCGATCGATTTCTCGAGACAGGCTACTCCGGCCATCTCAACGAGATGACGACACTCCTTATGGGGTTGCCAGAGTCCACTCAAATCGGAGAAGTTTTAGCCGCAACGTAAGTCGCGGAACGGCAGTAGCGAATCGTGCGTTCTCTCTGGTTTGTCAACATCCATCTCAGCTCAGTGGTAAAGCTTCCACTGCTCCATGAGCAGGCGACCTGGAAGGTTCTCATTTTACGTTTCAGTGGTGTTCTTTTCCACGACGACAAGATGCAGTACGCTCTAAGCACTGACTCTCCGGGCACGAGATCTACAATACATTCGGGAGCTAGAATGGATCTCAGTGAGAAACTGCGGCTTGACATTTGTTGTTATCCCCGATGGAATCATCTCAGAGTCGTTCGAAGGTAAGGCCGTGAAAGAGCTGATATTAGTTTACGAAGGGGAAGACGTCATTCGCAAAGGTCAAGTAGTAGTTCCTCTGACGAAAACAGCTGTTGCCAAATACCACTCCAGGCGCTCGTATCTGGCCAAAATCTTAATAGTGCGTCACTAACCGATGACCAGAACAGAGCTGTTGAGCTATCATATGTCGCGGTGTCGAGATCGCGGACTTCAGCAGCTGAGGATGTTGTCATTTTGTGTCATCATTTGGCAACAGGAGGGAAGTTTTACATTATTCGTTGATGCATGCTGATGTATACTCGTTTTTCGACAGTATTTGTGTTTAAGTATTCTCAACGAGATGTCTAAGTTGAAGGTAATGAGAAGAATAAGCGCTTGCAGCTACGACTTATCTCAATTGAGTTTCCGGCAGTCGTAGTATATCCTCGCAACGCAATTTCATAAAATCTACCTTTCGGACTCGTACATTGTCACCCAGACGTGTACAGAGGATGACATATGGGAAAGCAAGTGGAAAATACGTCGAAGCACTCCTTATCCAAAGTAGCCCGAATATCTGCATGAGAGCCAACATAACAAGAGGATGAAAATCTATAGTTCCCAGCATATTTCGGGTATTCAAAGGCGACGTGATACCCCGGAAAAAGATTGCTCCCTTCCACTGAGGTTATATTTCTTTCATCTTTCCCGTTGTTATAATATGAAATCTATGATAGTCGAAACATCCCCGATAATCCTCAAGCGTTCAGCCTGAGGTAAAGCCTCACTAGTTCATCCCCCATCAAGTTGCGCATGATTTGGGACGCATAAAGCACCCCTTCTGCCTGAGGGCACTAGAAAGTATTCTGTTAACATTGAAGCAGCGACCATGAGCTGGCTCTGCACGAACAAGTTTCAGATTATCAATCGAGTACACTGCACACCCGTAAACTGGAACTCAAGACATGTACTTCCAACAACCAGATCAACATATTCATGTCATTATAACGAGCATGCTCAACTGATTCATCTCCTATGGCTATGCTGCCTATTCAGCAGCCTACCCCCGCCACCTCCTCCTCCCGCGAAGCTCATCGAGGTACGGCTCATGTACCTAGGGATACCGTTAATGCATCGAACGATTTTCTAGAGACGCTCTTCTTACGTGTTATACACATCTGGACGAGCATGTGTACTCTCACCAACTTCGACCAGATTCCGTGTACTGCCTGCAACGAGTAACTTCACTACCCGAGTGTCTACTGACACACTACTTGATCCTGAGCCTCCTACGCTGCTGCCAGACGCTCCCCCGGCCAATGAGGCCAGATTATGAGGCTGTCTTCGGAAGACAGTTTTCCCTCCGCGAGATGTTACCATCGACGATTTTGAATTATTACTACGTCGGGTTGCTGGAAGCGAAGAAACAAATACTGGCGGAGGTGTAACAAATATTGGCTACTCTCTAACTGGGGCAAACCTACCTTGCAAGCTCCCATTCCTCGCTCCCCCTCTACCACCCCTTTTATTGGTGCTTTTGAATACTGCCGATCCACTTGTTGCTCCCAGTGGATTCATCCCCTTCTGCCCATGAGAGTTAGTCGATCGTCCTGATTCCAACATTGACGAGCTGTGATGGGTGCTGTACGCCTGTGATATGCTCGTGACCCCTGGCCAACCTGAAATTGTACACGTCAATACAAACTCCTACTAAGGATGCCCCACCCGGCTCAGCGCCATGCCTCATCCTCGCCAACGGCAATGGGGGCAAAGCCCCATTGGGAGATTCCGCTATCGCATGCAGAGACTCTCGAGGATTCAGCATAACCACATCCGCGACAAACCGACCCGGGTCGTGGACCAGCGAAGCACTCTCATATGACCTGTAACGGTGAACTCGAAAAAAACTCTCGAGAGCTGACCCTACTTATGTGCCCCACCAGTCGTCTCTAGATAGGAATCAGTAGTAGCGAAGCTCCTATCAACACTGCATGTCACCCAGAAGCCACTTCAAAAGCTCGACCCACTTCTTCTCCATCTCCTCGTCCTCCTCCTCTCTCCTGTGGTCCCGAGTGGTCATCTCAGGATCCGTATGGGAGTCTTCCATATCTGTCACTAAATCTCCCAAAAGTCAACAAAAATTCGACTAATTTCACCCAAAACAGTGGCTGCTGGAGTGGGCATAATAAGCGTCGGCACATCTTGAATATCAGAGAGAATGTTGCCGGGGTGCGTCCTCGTACCAGCAACCCATTGACCACTCGTGACCCTAGAGGGTACAGCTGGCCCATCGGGGCAGTTGGGGTCCTACGAGTTCGATAAATATCCCCATTGAGGGGAAGCACGTTCACTAACCTCCTTTCTATTCTTGGCAAAGTATGGCCTGCTGAGGGCTTGATGAGCAGTAATACGATCATCTACGAAAACCGTGACTCTATTGGAAGAACAAATATCGACCACCGACCAGGATTGTACGATAAGAGCTCCTGTAGGATGACCAGGAGCTCTGACGACCCATGCGGCAACAGCCTCGCTATTCCTGATGACAACACTGAGAAACTCTCATCAGAAATCCGCCTAATACCAGTGCCATTTTGCTCAGGAAAACTGAAGTTCAAAAATTCCGGTCCGTGCCTTTTGAATCTTTCCAACAACTTCGCTGGGGGAGTGCCTGGACCCAAGACGTGCGATGATGTGATGCACCCAGACCTACCCAGAATAGCGTGAATTCTGGTAATTTGATCGGTCTCGTCTCGACCGGGGAAGAGCGGGAAAAGCGCCATAACTTCAAAAAATACACAACCAACGCCCCAAATGTCCATTTTGAATCTAAAAAATCCGACAATCTTGCTCCAGTGAAGAGCTCTTCTCCCCTACGTGTAGTAACCGTCGGTCAATAGGCACTCGGGTGGCCGGTACCAACGGGTGCTGATGTAACTGATGAAAAACATACATTATAGGGATTAAGGGAGTACTCCTACTCAGTGTAGGGTTGCCGAGAATATATACCTCGACAACTACCAAGATCGGCTAACTTCAACATATCGTCAACCTGATCGTTTTAATGCATCCAAGGAATTCGAAAATAAGCTCACTATAAGGAGGTTCTCAGGTTTGATATCTCGGTGAAAAATGCCGTTTCTGTGCATATGGTCCACCGCGAGCATCTAATGTGACACAACAACCACTTCAGCAAGCGACCAAGTTCAGCTTACCAGCTGGTACATCCACTCACGTACTTTGACTTCAGGAAAATGATGACGTCGGTTCTTAATAGCCTCGTATCTGTAGCGCCGTCACAGCAACGGTCCCTTGCAAGGCCTCACAGGTTCATGTCCATGAGCTCCATAACTAAGGCAAGGCGACCAGAGGGTTCATCGTAGAGTACCTCGAGATAAATACTCATCTCGTACTCTGTGGAGGAGGAGGAGGAGAATTCACTTCATGCAACTTTATTATATGCCGGTGGCCACCAAGGCGGCGAAGGGCTTGGATTTCACGTAGATTGTTAACCTAGAACGTCAGTCGATTCCACCAGGCTTTTGGAGCTCTCACTTGCTCAATAGATTGGAAGGTGTTCTTCATGCACTTAATAGCATAGTGACGATTAGTCCTCAGCGACTGGGCCTTGAGTACCTTATCACGGCAACAACAACAAAGACTCGATTCGGCAGTGGGCCTCTGAGGCTACCTCGCTGAACGTGCCTTCACCTTTCTTAGCAACAAGTTTGTATTTATGCATAGAACATAGTGAGGCACCAGCACTGCTCAAATATCAATTCTGGAGAGATCTGTGGCGAGCGAGAAAAAATGCGGGAGAAATGTCGTGGGGTGGATTTGAACCCGGGGCCAGGATAGATCGAATATGGTATTCGACTTTTCTATCACAAACTGCCGAGGTTCGAAAGGGCTACAAACCTCTGATGCGTCTTACTCTTGCCTTATATGAGAAAGTCATGTAGTGTAGTGCACTTTATTGCACGAAAGTACAATTCGTATTCCCAACACAGCCGCTACTTTGAATATGATTTGTGTCATTGAAGGACCCTTGTGTTCACTTTGATATGAAGTTATGTTGATAGTTTCACGATGGAGGTGATGAATTCACTGTTTCTTTTAAACCCACCCTCTCCACCCTGGGGGAGTTTTGGGGACTAAGCTG